TTCCTTCCGTCTTTCCTTTGTTTCTTCTTTCCTTTTTCCCTCCCTCCCTCCCTTTTCCCTCCCTTCTTTTGTCCCTTCCTTCTTTCCTTTCTTCCTCCCTTCCTCCCTCCCTCCCCTCCCTCCCCTCCCCTCCCTTCCCTCCCCTCCCCCCTTCCTTCCTTCCCTCCCCTCCCCCCTTCCTTCCTTCCTTCCTTCCTTTCTTCCTCCTCCCTTCCTTCTTCTAAGACAAGGTGTTGCTTTACCACTCAGACTGGAATATAGTGGTACAATCTCAGCTTACTGCAGCCTCCAACTCCTGGATCACTCAAGTGATCCTCCCACCTCAGTCTCCAGAGTAGCTAGAAATACAGGTGCATGCCACCATACCCAGCTAATTTTTTTTTAGAGATGAGGTCTCACTATGTTGCCCAGGCTGGTCTTGAACTCCTGGCCTCAAGTGATCTTTCTTTTTTTTTTTTTTTTTTTTTTTTGAGACGGAGTTTCGCTCTTGTTACCCAGGCTGGAGTGCAATGGCGCGATCTCCGCTCACCGCAACCTCCGCCTCCTGGGTTCAGGCAATTCTCCTGCCTCAGCCTCCTGAGTAGCTGGGATTACAGTCACGCACCACCATGCCCAGTTAATGTTTTGTAATTTTAGTAGAGACGGGGTTTCACCATGTTGACCAGGTTGGTCTTGATCTCTTGACCTCGTGATCCACCCGCCTCGGCCTCCCAAAGTGCTGGGATTACAGGCTTGAGCCACCACGCCTGGCCCTCAAGTGATCTTTCTGCCTGAGCCTCCTAAGGTGCTGGGATTACAGGCATGAGCCACCGCATCCAGCCCCACTTCCAGCATTTCCAACTACCTGGTTTGCCCCTCCTCCTCACGGCCCGTATTCCTTACAGGCCCTCCCAAACCCCCTGGAAATTGACCACATCCAGGTCAGTATCTTACAGACTTTGGTGTCTTGTCCTCCTACGTTTTTATGTGCCTCGCCAGTCCTTTCTGACTGCAGACAACCTTTATGGGCTCCAGAAGTATGAGACTTTGCCCAGGGGTCTGTCTGCAGCCAGAATTTTGCCATTGTCGTGGTGCCAGGGGAAGAACGTGGTTGAAGCGGCTGTAATGCACTGGAGGACGTGTGCAGAGAAGAGAGTGTTTGGGTCAGTTCTGTTGGCAGAAGCTGAGGACCATGGCCCAGGGAAGGACGTGTTAAGAAGAAGCTGTAAGCACTGTGTCTCCGTGGGAGAGCAGCACTGCTTCGTGGTGAGGTTTGGGGAATGAACTCTTCACTTCTTTCTTGCATCTTTTTTTGTTTTCTTGGAGACGGGGTTCTGCTCTTTCGCCCAGGCTGGAGTGCAGTGGTGCCATCACTGCAACCTCTGCCTGCTAGGCTCAAGCGATCCTTCCACCTCAACCTCCCTGGTAGCTGGGACTGCAGGCGTGCGCCACCACACCTGACTAATTTTTATACTTTTTAGTAGAAACAGGGTTTCGCTGTCTTGGCCACGCTGATCTCGAGCCCCCGGCCTCTCAAGTGATCCGTCGGCCTCTGCCTCTCAAAATGCTGTGATTACAGGCGTGAGCCACTGCACCCGCCAGGAAGGATCCTTTCTAGCTTCTCGTGGCCACTGGCTGTCCCTGGCATTCCTTGGCTTGTAGGAGCATCACTCTTCTCTGCCTGTTTTCACGTAGCATCCTCCCCGCGTGGCTCTGGATCCCTTCATCATTCTCTGAGGATCACCGGTCGTATTACATTCCCTAATATGACCCTGCTGCAGTATGACCTCATCTTAACTGATTCCATCTGCAAATGCCCTGTTTGCAAATAAGATCACATTCATAGGTACAGGGGAAGGGGTTGGACGTGATTATAGATTTTTGTGGGGAGAGGGTACACAGTTCAGCTCACAACAGAGGTTATACTGTTTAAGTTAAGTCTGGTAGAGAAAGGAGAACCAAGGAAACATGGATTTAAGAACATATCCAGGGCCGGGCGCGGTGGCTCAAGCCTGTAATCCCAGCACTTTGGGAGGCCGAGGCGGGTGGATCACGAGGTCAAGAGATCGAGACCATCCTGGTCAACATGGTGAAACCCCGTCTCTACTAAAAATACAAAAAATTAGCTGGGCGTGGTGGCGCGTGCCTGTAATCCCAGCTACTCAGGAGGCTGAGGCAGGAGAATTGCCTGAACCCAGGAGGCGGAGGTTGCGGTGAGCCGAGAATCGCTCCATTGCACTCCAGCCTGGGTAACAAGAGCGAAACTCCGTCTCAAAAAAAAAAAAAAAAAAAAAAAGAACATATCCAAAAATTTTAAAAACCAGCAGCTGGATGTGGTGGTGTGTAGCTGTAGTTCCAGCTACTTGAGAGGCTGAGGCAGGTGGATCGCTGGAACCCAGGAGCTCAAGTCCAGCCTAGACAACATAGCAAGACCCTTTCTCTTAAAAACAAACAAACAAACAAACAAAAACGCTGGCAGGTACGGTGGCTCACTCCTGTAATCCCAGCACTTTGGGAGGCTAAGGCAGGCAGATCACCTGAGGTCAAGGGTTCGAGATCAGCCTGGCCAACATGGTGAAACCCCATCTCTACTAAAAAATACAAAAATTAGGCCAGGTGTGGTGGCTCACACCTGTAATCCCAGCACTTTGGGAGGCTGAGGCAGGCAGATCACTTGAGGTCAGGAATTGTAATAAGCTTTGTTTCTTTCTTTTCTTTTTTGAGAGGGAGTCTTGCTCTCTTGCCCAGGCTGGAATGCAATGGTGGGATCTCGGTTCACTGAAACCTCTACCTCCCAGGTTCAAGCGATTCTCCTGCCTCAGCCTCCCAAGTATCGAGTAGCTGGGATTACAGGCGCCTGCCACCACGCCCAGCTAATTTTTGTTTTTTTATTTTTCTTTTTCTCTGAGGTTGCAAATAATTTTTGTATGTTAGTAGAGATGGGGTTTCACCATGTTGTCCAGGTTGGTCTTGAACTCCTGACCTCAGGTGATCCACCCGCCTCGACACCCTGAAGTGCTTTATTTTCAAAACCAAGTGTCAGTCTGGTCTGGTTTTGTCTTGTAACCGTAGTTTGCTGATCCGTGGGTCTATATCATCAGCCACGAAACTTTTTATTGTCCAGATTATTTGAAGTAAATCTTAGACATTATATCATCTTGCCAGTGAATATTTCAGTATGAACCTTTAAAAAAAAAAAAAAAACCTCTTTAAAAATTAAACCACAACATATTTATCACACCTAAAATTTTAAAGATTTTTTTCCTGGCTGGGCACAATGGCTCATGCCTGTAATCCCAGTGCTTTGAGAGGCTGAGGTGGGAGGATCAGTCAAGGCCAGGAGTTTGAGACCAGCCTGAGCAACATAGTGAGACCTTGTCTCTACTAAAAATAAAGAAAGTAACTGAGCATCGTGGATACTTAGGAGGCTGAGGCAGGAGGATCGCTAGAGCCCAGGAGTTGGAGGCTGCGGTGAGCCATGATTGTGCCACTGTACTCCAGCCTGGGGGAGAGGACAAGATCCTATCTCCAGAAAAAAAAAGGGGGTTTGTACCCCATTTACAGAATTTTCCAGGAGATATGTTTAAGTAAGAAAAGCAAGATGTAGAGAAATCTGTAGATGACAATCTAATTTTTGTAACCTCTTCAGTATGTAGGTATTTATGTGCATGTGTGGCTATATGTCTGTGACACATAACAGGTTTTTAACATGGGTCAGTGACAATGGCATCAAAACAGAAAAAGGAGAAAACCTGTACTTTAGAAAACAGCCAACATGGAATAATCACATTTCTGTGTTTGTGTAAATGGTACTCCTATGTATATGTGCTTTGTAAAATTAAAAAGAGTTATGATTCAGCCGGGCACAGTGGCTCACTCCTGTAATCCCAGCACTTTGGGAGGCAGAGGCGGGAGGATCGCTTGGGGTCTGGAGTTTGAGACCGGCGTGGTCAATATGGTCAAACCCGTCTGTACTAAAAATATGAAAATTACTTGGGCATAGTAGTGCACGCCTGTAATCCCAGCTACTCGGGAGGCTGAGGCAGGAGAATCACTTTAACCTGGGAGGCAGGGGTTGCAGTGAGCTGCGATTGTGCCACTGCACTCCAGCCTGGGTGACACAGCAAGACTCTGTGTAAAAAAAAAAAAAAAAAAAAAAAGCCTGTAATCCCAGCACTTTGGGGTGGGCGGATCACCGGAGGTCAGGATTTCGAGACCAGGTAGCTGACCAACTAACATGGTGAAACCCTGTCTCTACTAAATATACAAAAATTAGCCAGGCATGGTAGCATGCACCTGTAATCTCAGCTACTTGGGAGGCTGAGGGAGGAGAATTGCTTGAACCCGGGAGGCGGAGGTTGCAGTGAGCCGAGATCACGCCACTGCACTCCAGCCTGGGCAACAGAGCAAGGCTCCTCAAAAAAAAAAAAAAAAAGTTACTTTAAGAAAGGATTGAGAGGAAATGTTTAATGTCCTTTGATGTCATTAAGGAAGTCCAAGGAATTTGCTTAGGAGTTGGAAAATGCCCAGGAGTGTAGGCAAACAAAGACTCAGTGGCCATGCCAGTGCTGGCCAGCTGGGGACGGCCCCGTGGAAGGTTTAGAGGGGAGAGAGGCAGCTGGGGGTCCTGGGTCACGGTGGTTCCCTGATCTCTGCACCTCTTCCTCCTGCTCCCGGAAGAACTAATGTTTCCCTGGGGGCTGAAAAGCATCTCTTTGTGCGGGCTTTAATTGCCATGTGTTGTGCCAAGGGAGTGAGTGGCAGGCGGGAGCAGCAGCTGGGCACAGCCAATGCCAGGCAGCGGTGGCCGCTGCCTCAGGACAGCCCGGCCAGCTGGCTCCCGGGAGTGCTGCCCACCTCTGCCCCCAGCTGGGCGCCTGCAGAGGGACCGACCACCCCGCGGGGCAGCGGGGGAGGATCGCTGGAGGAGGAGAAAGGGGCGGGCAACTGGGAGGGTCTCAGCCACTCTCAGAGGCTTATTCATCTCATCCTCCTTCCCCTCCCCCCTTCTTGTTTTTCAGACTGTCAGCATCAATAAGGCCATTAATACGCAGGAAGTGGCTGTAAAGGAAAAACACGCCAGAAATATCCTTTTGGATGTTGCTTGGATGACCAACCACAAGGGAGGTTAAAGTGTGGGGACTGAGGTCAGGGCCAGGCTCCCTCACTCAGCTCCCGGAAGGGGCAGCCCGGCGCAGGCCAGACCCCTTCAGCTTCTGATGACAGCAGCTTCCCAGAAAGCACAGACCTTCAGGGTGACAGAGACCAAGGAGGCTGTGGAGCCCAGGCCTTTCAACTTGCCAAAGATCCTGCTCCTCTCCTTGAGGACTTAAGCGTTCCTAGTTTTCTGTTTCCAAATGGGGTCTTGCTGTGCTGCCCAGGCTGGAGTGCAGTGGCTCAATCACAGCTCACTGCAGCCTCCAACTCCTGGGTTCGTGCAGTCCTCTCGTCTCAGCCTCCCAAGTAGCTGGGACTACAGGTGTGCACCACTACACCTGGCTAATTTATTTTCTGTTTTGTAGAGATGGGGTATTGCTCATTGCCCAAGCTGGTCTCAAGCTCCTGGCCTCAAGCAATCCTCCCTCCTCTGTAATCCCAAAGTGCTGGAATTACAGGGGAGAGCCACTGCATCTGGCCGACTCAAGCTTTGGAGAATGTGGAAGTCACTTGAAAGTCACTTCCGGTGAGAGAGCTCCTGAGGGTCAGGAGGGGTTTTCACCGGCTATCAAAGTCCTCCAGATCCTCTCTTTGCCCGCAGAGACAATCAATAATCATCTCCTTTTCAAGCAGAAAAAAGAAAGAAAGAAAAAGAGAGTATTTTTGTTTCTTTTTTGAGATCGTCTCACTCTGTTTCCCAGGCCGGAGGGGAGTGGCATGTTCTCGGCTCACTGCCACCTCCGCCTCCTGGATTCAAGCGATTCTTGGGCCTCAGCATCCTGAGTAGCTGGGATTACAGGCGTGTGCCACCACACCCGGCTGATTTTGTAATTTTAGTAGGATTAGGGTTTCACCATTGGCCGGGCTGGTCTTGAACGCCTGGCCTCAGCCTCCTAAAGTGCTGGGATTGCAGGCAGGAGTCACCACGCCCGGCTGAAAAAAGAAAGTCTTAGCTTCAGTGATTGGTTGACCTTAAACCGAGGCAGGGACTCTACCTTCATGAACAGGTTCAATCTATCCCAGAGGACAGAAGACAAGAGCCTTGAATTAGGGAATTGGATTAGGGAATGGGTGACTTGAAAGTCCCCTGGTAAACCCCCCACACATAGGAGTAGCCTATGGCTTTGTAGAAAGGCACAGGACCATACTGGCTGGTGAATCCCTGGGGCTCTGCCTTTGAGTGGCAGAATCCTGGAGCTGGAGAGCTTAATCCCCAAAGGCTGAGAGAAGCTGCCAGGGAGGTGGCTAAGCTTTTAACTCTCTGTGTGCTGGGCCAGAGCAAGGAGGAGTTCCGGGCAAGCAGAGTCCGGACTTTTTTTTTTTCTGAGACAGTCTTGCTCTGTTGCCCAGGCTGGAATGCACTGGCTCCATCTCCACTCACTGCAATCTCTGCCTCCCAGGTTCAAGCAATTCTTCTGCCTCAGCCCCCTGAGTAGCTGAGATTACAGGCGCGCCACCACGCCCGGCTAATTTTTGTATTTTTTAGTAGAGATGGGGTTTCACCATGTTGGCCAGGATGGTCTTGATCTCTTGACCTCGTGATCCGCCCACCTCAGCCTCCCAAAGTGCTGGGATTACAGGTGTCAGCCACTTCGCCAGGCCTCTTTTGTTGTTGTTGTCATTGTTGAGACGGAGTCTTGCTCTGTCGCCCAGGCTGGAGTGCGGTGGCATGATCTCGGCTCACTACAACCTCCGCCTCCCAGGCTCAAAAGATCCACCTGCCTCAACCTCCCAAGTAGCTGGGACCACAGGTGTGTATCACTACCCCTGGCTAATTTTTTATATTTTTAGTAGCGACGGGGTTTCACCGTGTTGCTCAGGCTGTTCTCAAACTCCAGAGCTCAAGCGATCTTCCTGTCTTGACCTCCCAAAGTGCTGGAATTACAGGCATGAGCCACCGCACCCAGCCTCGGAGGCTGGACTTCTGTCTGCAATGGGAAGCTCCTCCTCGCCTGGGCTGTTGGTGGCTGTGCCACTGAGAGGCGGGTCAGAGCAGCGTGTCCCAAAGCCATCGGGACAGAGCAGCTTGTCCCAAACCCATGGAGGTGACCGACCCTCAGGGTAGATAGCCAGAGAAGCCCAGCATCGCTTAGTGTGGTGTGTGAACTGTTTGCTAGCGGGAAAGCAGCTCGCCATTAGTGGGAAGATGCTTTGGCTGGATTTAGGAGGGGGCTGCGGAACCTCTCTAGGCTAACCCAGAAGTCTAGCCCTTCAGCAAGCCTAGCTGGATCTTACTCTTTTTTCCCCCAGAAAGACACAGGACCCTTGCTTTCTTCTATCACGTTTGGTACCCTTGCGATGATTCAGACCAAACCAAGAGAAGCTTTCATTTTAAATGGCTCAGTTGATTTTCTCAGAGGAAATGACGCAGGCTTGACCTACTAATAATTTGTGATCGATCTGATATATGAGGGAGGGGCTAGGCGCAGTGGCTCACGCCTGTAATCCCAGCACTTTGGGAGGCCGAGGTGGGTGGATCACAAGGTTGGGAGTTCAAGACCAGCCTGGCCAACATGGTGAAACCCCGTCTCTACTAAAAATACAAAAAATTAGCTGGGTGTGTTGGCGCATGCCTATAATCCCAGCTACTCAGGAGGCTGCGGCAGGAGAATCACTTGAACCCAAGAGGCGGAGGTTACAGTGAGCCAAGATCGTGTCACTGAACTCCAGCTTAAGCAATAGAGCGAGACTCCGTCTTAAATTAAAAAAAGGTATGAGTAAGGGAGAGAGTTTTCATTGGGCAGCATGCTCTTCAGGACAAGACATGGGGACAGAGAGGCCAGGCCTACAGCAGGAAGGTCAGGTCACACGCTGCTGGGGAAGCGTGTGGAGGAGGGAAGGGATCCTGGAAGAAGATTCTGAAATCCTGCCTCTGGAACTCTCAGTCTCACTCTGGAACCTTGAGTGGGGCCTCCATGAGCCTTATGTCACTTTCTGTTCGATCAAAGAGTTGGACAAAGAAGACTTCAGTCCGGGTGCAGTGGTTCATGCCTGTAATCCCAGCACTTTGAAAGGTGGAGGCAAGCGGATTGCCTGAGGTCAGGAGTTCAAGACCAGCCTGGCCAACATGGTGAAACCCCATCCTACTAAAAATTTAGAAATTAGCTTGGCATGGTGGTGGGCACCTATAATCCCAGCTACTTGGGAGGCTGAGGCAGGAGAATCACTTGAACCTGGGAGGCAGAGGTTGTGGTGAGCTGAGATCGTGCCATTGCACTCCAGCCTGGGCAGCAAGAGCGAAATTCAGTCTCAAAAAAAAAATTTTTTTTTTCAAAGATTTAACAATCCAGCTTTAACATTCTATTAGTCTCTGATTCACAATTTCTAAATGGTGAATAAATGTTGAAAAATCAACTCCGTACAGTACAGTTGTAAACGCTTAGTTAGAGATATCCCCAAGATTTTTTTTTTTTTTTGAGGTAGGTCACACACTGTCACCCAGGCTGAAGTGCAGTGGCACAGTTAGAGGCTCACTGCAGCCTCTAACTCCTAGGCTCAAGTGATCCTCCCGCCCCAGCCTCCCGAGTAGCTAGGACTGTAGGCACACACCATCATACCTGGCTAATTTTTTACAGAGACAGGGTCTCACTGTGGTCCAGACTGGTCTTGAACTCCCAGCTAGCTCAAGCAGTCCGCCCACTGGGCCTTCCAAAGTACTGGGATGACAGGCGTGAGCCACCGGGCTCAGCCCCTTTATGTATTATCAAGTCTTATGTCAGCTGCCTTAGATACAAACTAAATAGGCATTAGGAAGTCTGACTTCAGAAATGCTGCTTAGACATTTATCACAGATGCCCAAATGCAGAACAGGTTGGCCCGTCACCTTGATATTCACTCCTGGAGGGCTGGGGACTGAGTCTTATTTTTCTTCTTTTCTTTCTTTTTTCTTCCTGAATGCATTTTACAGTCTTTGACACATAACTGGGGCATAAAAATGCTTATAATGTGAAAGAATGCCAGGAAGGTCCCCTTGCCCATTTGAAAGTGAGGGTGTCTCAGCCAGGTGCGGTGGTTTGCACCTGTAATCCCAGCACTTTGGGAGGCCGAGGCAGGAGGATCAGATAAGCCCAGGAGTTCAAGACTGGGCTGGGCAACATAGCGAGACCCCTCTCTACAAAAAATAAAAAATTGGCTGAGTGTGGTGGTGCATGCCTGTAGTCCCAGCTACTTGGGAGGCTGAGTAGGAGGATCACTTGAGCCCAGGAGCTGGAAGCTGCAATGATCTATGATTTCACCACTGCACTCCAGGCTGGGCAACACAAGGAGACTCTAAAAAATAAATTAAGACAAGTAATTTAAATTTAGTAAAATAAAGCCCGGGTGCCTGGCTAGCTCTGTTTAGGAGGCTGCTTTCAGGAAAAGTAAGCCCGGTTTGCTGGGAGAGGTGAGTGCGGGGAGGCTGGGGCTGCCAGTCTCTCCTCACTGCTTCCTGCAGTCTGTAGGGCTTGTACTTTAGGTGAAACCAAAAATCATTTCAGAAATCATTCCTACATCTAGGCCAGGTGTGATGGGTCACGCCTGTCATCCCAGAGCTTTGGGAGGCCAAGCGGGGCAGATCTCTTGAGGCCAGGAGTTCGAGACCAGCTTGGGCAACATAGCGAAACCCCGTTTCTACGAAAAACACAAAAATTAGCCAGGCATGGTGGCACATGCCTATGATCCCAGCTATGGGGAACCTTGAGGCATGAAAAACACTTGAACCTGGGAGGCGGAGGCTGCAGTGAGCCAAGATCGTGCCACACTGCACTCTAGCCTGGGCAACCGAGCAAGACCCTGTCTCGAAAGAAAAGAAAAAGAAAGGAAGGAAGAAAGAAAGAAAAACAAAAGAAAGAAAGAGCCGGGCGCGGTGGCTCAAGCCTGTAATCCCAGCACTTTGGGAGGCCGAGGCGGGTGGATCACGAGGTCGAGAGATCGAGACCATCCTGGTCAACATGGTGAAACCCCGTCTCTACTAAAAATACAAAAATTAGCTGGGCATGGTGGCACGTGCCTGTAATCCCAGCTACTCAGGAGGCTGAGGCAGGAGAATTGCCTGAACCCAGGAGGCGGAGGTTGCGGTGAGCCGAGATCGCGCCATTGCACTCCAGCCTGGGTAACAAGAGCGAAACTCCGTCTCAAAAAAAAAAAAAAAAAAAAACAAAAACGAAATAAAGAAACACTCTTACACCAAAAGCTGACTTTACCTTCCAGACCCAAATATCTGTTCAAGCCCACCCCTCTCTAAATGAAAATGTCATCAAGGAAAGAAACTTTGTGGTATCTTCCAGCTCAGAACCAAAATAACATGTACTCTGGGTGAGTCATTTAGTTTCCTACCTGAGGCAAGTCTTTCTGCCCTAAATGACACTGTACTTGAGACCTGAGCCTTGCTCAGGGAAGCTTCAAGTTCCAGGCACAGAGTTGGCCTTACAGTTGATAGCGCCCAGTTACTGAATGGTGTGGAAATACACAATTACAAAAGACAAGTGGAAATTCCTCGCTCCAAAAAGGGCTCACTAATGACAGAGATCTGAGTGCTGAACTTAAAATCATGTGAGGCCTGATGGACGTTTATTTATGTAGAGATGGAGTCTTGCTCTGTCGCCCAGAGTGCAGTGGCACAATCTCAGCTCCCTGCAACCTCCGCCTCCCAAGTTCAAGCGATTCTCCTGCCTCAGCCTCCTGAGTAGCTGGGATTACAGGTCCCCCCCACCACACCCAGCTAATTTTTTGTGTTTTTAGTAGAGACGGGGTCTTACCCTGTTGGCCAGGATAGTCTCAAAATCCTGACCTTAGGTGATCCACCTGCCTCGGCCTCCCAAAGTGCTGGGACTACAGGTGGGAGCCACCGCGCCCAGCCGTTCAAGTGTTGCTACAAAGTTAGGTGTCATAAGGCCAGGCACAGTGGTTCATACCTGTAACCCCCACCTTTTGAGAGGCCAAAAGAGGATTGCTTGAGGCCAGAAGCTTGAGACCAGCCTGGGCAACATAGCAAAATCTATCTACCAAAAATTTAACTTAGCCAGGCATAGTGGTGCATGCCTATAGCCCCAGCTACTTAGGAGGCTGAGGTAGGAGGATTGCCTGAACCCAGGAGTTTGAGGTTACAGTGAGCTATGATCACATCACTGCACTCCAGCCTGGGCGGCAGAGCAAGACCCTATCTCAACCACCACAACAAATAGCTGTAGTTATTCCCAAGGGACCCATCACCAACTCAGCATTCTCATAGAAAGGGCAACCCAATACTACCCTGGCCTACAGGGCATTTGTGCAAATTAGAAAAAGACACACCTCTCTCTCAAGATACCTCCATCTTGAGAAATTGTCTAATCAAGTGGATTTTATTAGAACAAGTATTGCCATCTGCCCTAAAACTCCCAGAATGAACGTAGAGTTCTATGGTATTTTAGATCTGAGCAGCACTCCCTCCAAGTCACTGCCAACCACGGTTTGCACAACTGCTCAGTCCCCTGCAGTGGCTGGGTGTGGGCATGATCCCCTGCAGTGGCTGGGTGCAGGTGTGACCCCCTGCAGTGGCTGGGTGCAGATGTGATCCCCTGCAGTGGCTGGGTGTGGGCGTGACCCCCTGCAGTGGCTGGGTGCAGATGTGATCCCCTGCAGTGGCTGGGTGCAGATGTGACCCCCTGCAGTGGCTGGGTACAGATGCGACCCCCTGCAGTGGCTGGGTGCAGATGTGATCCCCTGAAGTGGCTGGGTGTGGGCGTGACCCCTTGCAGTGGCTGGGTACAGATGTGATCCCCTGAAGTGGCTGGGTGTGGGCATGACCCCTTGTAGTGGCTGGGTGCAGATGTGATCCCCTGCAGTGGCTGCGTGTGGGTGTGACCCCCTGCAGTGGCTGGGTGCAGATGTGATCCCCTGCAGTGGCTGGGTGCAGGCTTCACCCCCTGCAGTGGCTGGATACAGACTGGCTCCCAGGAGGCAGGGCCCATGTCGTTGTTTTCCATAACCCCCCCCTCACCGTGCATACTGGGCACCCACCATGAGAAAGGGGCACAGACCTTTTGGTCTGTCGTCAACCGCCTGCCTCTGTCTAGCAACGCAGTGCTCTGCTGGAAGTTCTGCCACGTGTTCCACAAGCTCCTCCGAGATGGACACCCGAACGTGAGTTCCTGGGACTGTACGGTGGCAGGGAGCCAGGGACACTTGTGGGGAAAGTGACCGCCTGGGCCACAGAGGCTGCTGTCCCCTCCCACACTGCCCCCTTCTCCTGGCCTTTGGGTCCCCATTAGAGGTGGCTGAGCTCTCTCCCATCAGCCTGTCCTCCCACCCCAGGCTCACCTCCGCCTCTTCACTTTGTCTCTCCTTCCTTCTCCGGTTCTCTCACGGCCTGTTCCTTCCCCTCTGCAGGTCCTGAAGGACTCTCTGAGATACAGAAATGAACTGAGTGACATGAGCAGGATGTGGGTGAGTTTGAAGATGAACACAGGAGCCACCTGCTCCTCCTCTCCTTCCCCAGAGGCCGCAGAGCAAGGACTGGAGAATGCAATAACTTCGTCTCCTTCAGCTTGTTGAGGATTTCTCCATGAGCCTCAGGGAGGGACTAAGAATGCCCCCCAAAAGTACCATGATATCCATAGTCTTCAGGAAAGTTCCAGGGCCTGGGAACTTCTCCTACCAATGGAAACTCATGTCCCAAAGCTGTCCAGATATTGGGATTCCTCAGCAATAGTTACACTACCATGGTTCCTGCTTTTTTTTCCCTTTCTTTCTTGTTTGGTGGAGATGGGGTCTTGCTATGCTGCCCCGGCTGGTCTTGAACTCTTGGTCTCAAGCAACCATCCCACCTCAGCCTCCCAAAGTGCTGGGATCACACACATGAGCCACTGTGCCCAGCCCACAGTTCCTGCTTCTCTTCTTCCACTAGTCCCTTTGGAGTCACAGTGCATTGAGAATTAGAATTAGCATACCCAATTCTTTCTTTGAGACAGAGTCTTGCTCTGTCACCCAGGCTGGAGTGCAGTGGCATGATCTTGGCTCACTGCAACTTTCACCTCCTGGGTTCAAGAGATTCTCCTGCCTCAGCTTCCTGAGCAGCTTGGACTACAGGTGTCCGCCACCATGCCCATCTAATTTTTATATTTTTAGTAGAGACAGGGTTTCACCGTATTGGCCAGGATGATCTCCATCTCCTGACCTCGTGGTCCGCCCACCTCGGCCTTCCAAAGTGCCGGGATTACTAGGCATGAGTCACCTCGCTCGACCAAGCATACCCAATTCTTTTTTCTTCTTCTTCTTTTATTTTACAAGATACGGCAGCAAGAAGCATACCAGGTTCTTTTTTTTTTTTTTTTTTTTTTTTTTTTGAGACGGAGTTTCGCTCTTGTTACCCAGGCTGGAGTGCAATGGCGCGATCTCGGCTCACCGCAACCTCCGCCTCCTGGGTTCAAGCAATTCTCCTGCCTCAGCCTCCTGAGTAGCTGGGATTACAGGCACGTGCCACCATGCCCAGCTAATTTTTTGTATTTTTAGTAGAGACGGGGTTTCACCATGTTGACCAGGATGGTCTCGATCTCTCGACCTCATGATCCACCCTGCCTCGGCCTCCCAAAGTGCTGGGATTACAGGCTTGAGCCACCGCGCCCGGCGATACTCGGTTCTTAATGCCAGAGATTTTTCTTTCCTGTTTAGGGATTCTCAGTGCTTTGGGATGAGGGAGGAGGTAGGTGGCAATATCACAGTCAAAGGAAACGAGCATTTCTATACACACACCCCAATCACCCCGTATTCTGATGCCTATGGTTGTGTATATAGAGAGGGATAATCTGCATTTTGAAGACTCTCCCTTGGCCAGATGCCGTGGCTCATGCCTGTAATCCCAGCACTTTGGGAGGCCGAGGCAGGCAGATAACCTGAGGTCAGGAGTTTGAGACCAGCTTGGCCAACATGATAAAACCCTATCTCTACTAACAATACGAAAATTAGCCAGGCATGGTGGTGTGTGCCTATAATCCCAGCTACTCAACAGGCAGGAGAATCACTTGAACCTGGGAGGCGGAGATTGCAGTGAGCTGAGATTGGGCCACTGCACTTCAGCCTGGGCGACAGAACAAGACTCTAACTCAAAAAGAAAAAAAGGAAAAAAAAATCTGCTTCGTTGACTCTGATATGTTCTTCTGCCTCTACCAGTAGAGAACTACTACTTTAGCCTTTTTGCATAGTATCACTTGTATCTGTCTGCACTTATAAAATGTTGGCAACTGTGTAGTCCTATCTACCTATCATAGGTGAGGAAACACAGGCCCAGAAAGGGAAGCAGCTTGTCCTAAAGTCACAATACTAGTACCAGAACAAAGTTGAGAGTTGTTCCTAGATTGCCCAACCATGTGCTAGAAAACTTTCCCTGTAACATGTAAAGTTTAGGTAATTTTCCTTTTTGTTAGAATTCGCCTGGTATATATTTCTCCATCTTTTTACTTTAAGCATTACTGTATTTTTATATTTTAGAAATAACATTTATAAATAACATTTGGTTGGATTTTGTGTGGTTTGTTGTTTTTTATTCAGAATGGTAGTCTTTGTCTTTTAACTGGGCATTTAGTCCATTTACATTTATTATGATACATGATATGTTTAGATTTATCTGTCTCCCATTTTATTTTATGCTATTTGTCCTGTCTGCTCTGCTTCTATTTCTCTCATTCCTTGCCTTCTTTTGGATGGGCTGGGTGTTTTTTTCTCATTCTGTTTTTTTCCTCATTACTATTTGGGAGGTTAAAAAACAAGTCTACTTTTTTGTTTTTGGTATGTTCTCTAATAATTACAAAATGCTTGCTTGGTTTACCTAGGTCTGCCTTTCATATTTTTGTTTTCTGTATAACACAAAGACTTTATAATATTTTAATTCCATTCAGTCCCTCAATTTATATGTTAGTATAACCATGTATTTTGGTTTTGGTTATCTTTAAACCCTGTAACTTATTGTTTTATATTACTTGTTTTATTCAGTGTTATCCATAGGTCTTCCACTTGAAAACACTTTCTTTCTGCCTGAATTATTTCTTTTAGAACTTCCGTAATGGGAGTCTATTGGTGGCTAACACTGTGTTTACTTGTTTGAGAATGTCATTATTATCATTATTATTATGTTTATTTATTTATTTTTGGAGACAGAGTCTCGCTCTGTTGCCTAGGCCATAGTGCACTGGCACAATCTCAGCTCACTGCAACCTCTGCCAGCTACTCGAAGGCTGAGGCAGGAGAATCACTTGAACCTGGAAGGCAGAGGTTATAATCCCCGAGTAGCTGGGATTACAGGTGCCCACCATCATGACTGGCTAATTTTTGTATTTTTAGTAGTGAATATGGTTTCGCCATGTTGGCCAGGCTGGTCTTGAACTCCTTACTTCAGGAGATCTGCTCGCCTTGGCCTCACAAAGTGCTTGGATTACAGGCATGAGCCACTGCACCCAACTGAGAATGCCATTATTTCAACCTCTCTTATAGGAGGTATTTTCTCTGGATTTAGGTTTTAGGGTGACGTTTATTTTCCCTTAGTATATAGAGGATATCATTTAAGATACCTTTCCGCCGACTTCTGGCTTTGATTATCTTCATGGAGTCAGGTGTGAGACACTATTGCTCCTTTAAAGCTAATATGTGTTTTATATCTGGGGATTTTAAGATCTTAGAATGTGTCTAGGAGTTAATTTATTTTGGATTCTTTGGATGGTGGTTTAGTGTCTTTTATTTGTTGTGAAAATGTCTCATTGTCACTTGAGACAGTGCCAGTGTTCCATTCTCTCTTTTTCTTCTCAGATCTTTTTTTTTTTTTTTTTTTTTTTTTTTTTAATATGGAGTCTTACTTTGTTGCTCAGTTTCACTGCCACCTCCACCTCCCGGGTTCAAGCAATTCTCCTGCCTCAGCCTCCCAAATAGCTGGGACTATAGGCATGCACCACCACACCCAGCTAATTTTTGTATTTTTAGTAGAGACGGAGTTTTGCCATGTTGGCCGCCTGGTCTCGAACTCCTGACCTCAAGCGATCTTCCCTCCTCAGCCTTGGCACACTGTCCAAAGTGTTGGGAATGCAGGTGTCAGCCAATGCACCCAGCCCCTTCTCAGGTTTTGGCTAGACATGAGTCAGACTTTCTCATCCTACCCCTCATGTCTCTAAATCACTCTTTCAGTTTTTTCTACCTATTTGTCTTTGCTGTATTCTGGACAATTTTTATCATTGCTAACCTTCAGTTTGCCTCCTCTCCAGTTGGGTGTAATGTGTTATTAAACTTCTCCATAAGATTTTCAATTTCATTTAGTACAGTTTTCGTCTTTTCTTTTTTTTTCTTCTTTCTTTCTTTCTTTTTTTGTTTGTTTGTTTGTGTGTGTGAGATGGAGTTTCACTCTTGTTGCCCAGGCCAGAGTGCAATAATGGTGCAATCTCCGCTCACTGCAACCTCCGCCTCCCAGGTTCAAGCGATTCTGCTGCCTCAGCCTTCCAAGCAGCTGGGATTACAGGCACCCACCACCACACCCAGCTAGTTTGGTATGTTTCATAGAGATGGGGTTTCACCATGTTGGGCAGACTGGTTTCGAACTCCTAACCTCAGGTGATCCACCCACCTTGGCCTCTCAAAGTGCTGGGATTACAGGCATAAGCCATCACCCTCAGCCTAAATTAGTACAGTTTTCATTTCCTGAAGTTTTTTTTTTTTTTTTTTTCTTTTCAAATCTGCTTGTTTTTTGCAGGGGGTTGTTGTTGTTTGAGACAGGGTCTCACTCTGTCACCCTGGCTGGAGTGCAGTGTCACGATCATGGCTGACTGCAGCCTCAACCTCCCGAGCTCAGGTGATCTTGCTACCTGTTATGGACCAGCTAATTTTTGTAGACGTAGGCTTTTGCCATGTTGCCCAGGGTGGTCTTGAACTCCTGGGCTTAAGTGATCTTCCCAGCCTACCAAAGCACTGGGATTACAGGCAGGAGGAACCACTGTGCTCAGCCCTGCTTCTCCTCCTTTATAATTTATTATGCCCCATATATATTTTTGAAACAGTCTCTTATTTCTTTAGATATATGAAACATAGTTATTTCGTATTTATTTTGTAATTCTATTATGTAAAGTCCTTAGAGATCTGTTTCTGTCCTCCATCACTTTTGGTACATTTTGCCCATGTTGTGTAGTTTCCTTTGTGTTCGGTAATTTTCTACTGTAAGCTGCTCATCTTCCTTGGAATTTTGTATATGGGAATTCTTTGAAGTGTGTAATGAAGGCAGGTTCCTCCAGAGAGAATTGGCATTTGCTACCATTGAGATCAGGGAAAATTAAATTCTCAGCTTAAGGTTTTGTGAATTTAGAGCAGATTTTCCTCCCTTTGATCACAGCAGTGATTTGAGGCTGTAGAATTCTTCATAGTCCTTAGGAAGGACAAATACAAGCATTTGTCATTTTATTATTTACCTTTACTTTTTCTGTACCAAGAAAGCAGTCTTTTGTGTGTGTGTGTGTGTGTGTGTGTGTGTGTGTGTGTGTGTGTGTGTTGGTGGTGGTGGTGTTTTAAGACAATTTATTGCTGTGTCACCAAGGCTGGAGATACGGTGACGTGATCACAGCTCACTGCAGCCTCAACCTCATGGGCTCAAGCGATCCTCCCTCTTCAGCTTCCTGAGTAGCTGGGACCACAAGTGCCACACCACCATACCTGGCTAATTTTTTAATTTTTTGTAGAGATGAGGTTTCGCCATGTTGGCCAGGCTGTTCTCAAACTCCTGAGCTCAAGCAGTCATCCTCCCTCCTCAGCCTCCCAAAGTGCTGGGATTACAGGCATGAGCCACCAAGCCTGGCTTGACAGATCCCCATCCCATGTGTAATAGTGTAGATGCTATCAGTCTATTGAATCCATCTGGAGGAGATGTTCCCTCCACTCCTTAGAGACACGGAAGAAAATAGCCCACTGTGATTTTGCCAACGGTGGGAGACTCAACATTTTGCTGTTGTTGTTGTTGAGATGGAGTCACTCTGTCACCCAGGCTGGAGTGCACTGTCACAATCTCGGCTCACTGCAACCTCTGCCTCCCAGGTTCAAGTGATTCTCCTGCCTCAGCCTCTGAAGTAGCTGGGACTACAAGTGTGTGCCACCACACCCAGCCAATTTTTGTATTTTTTGTAGAAACGGAGTTTCACAATGTTGGCCAGGCTGGTCTCAAACTCCTGATCTCAAGTGATCCGCCCACCTCAGCCTCCCAAAGTGCTGGGATAACAGGCGTGAGCCACCACACCTGACCAGACTCAACATTCTTCAGTAGGCAGCTTTGTCCAGAATTTATCAAAGGAAGTCCTTATGTGTGTACACAAGATTGTGCTGTAAGGAATGTTCATTGAAATGGTTTATGATAGCAGAACCTTCAGCTGTTTTGAATTGGCTTGAGCTCATTTGAATTTATTGAATCAGTTCAATAAATTACAATAATACTGGTCAGTCACCAAAAATAATGAAAGTTGAAGAACTTGAATAAAATAGCAGCATATAGGCAAGAAAAATAGATTGATTGTATTTTACATTTAAGAATAAAGGTAGGGTCGGGTGTGGTGGCTCACACCTGTAATCCCAGCACTTTGGGAGGCCAACGGAGGGGGATCATGAGATCAGGAGTTCGAAACCACCTGATCAGCACGGTGAAAGCCTGTATTTACTAAAAATACAAAAATTAACCCGGTGTGGTGGCACAGGCCTGTAATCCCACCTACTTAGGAGGCTGAGGGAGGAGAATTGCTTGAACCTGGGAGGTGGAGGTTGCAGTTAGCTGAGATAGCACCATTGCAATCCGGCCTGGGCAACAGAGCAAGACTCTGTCTCAAAAAAATAATTAATTAATTAATTAATTAATGAAAGGTAGATGGCCAGGCAAGGTGGCTCATACCTATAATCCCAGCACTTTAGGAGACTGAGGCGGGCGGACAGGTGGATCACCTGAGGTCAGGAGTTGAAGACTAGTTTGGCCAACATGATGAAACCCCATCTCTACTAAAAATACAAAAATGCGCTGGGCATGGTGGCACACACCTGTAGTGTAATCCATGCCCTTTGGGAGGCCAAGGCGGGCAGATCACTCGAGGCCAGGAGTTTGAGACCAGCCTGGGCAACATCATGAAACCACATCTCTACTAAAAATACAAAAATTGACCAGGCATGGTGGCACATGCCTGTAATCTCAGCTACTCAGGAGGCTGAGGCAGGAGAATCACTAGAACCCAGGAGGCGGAGGCTGCAGTGAGCCAAGATTGTGCCGCTGCACTCTAGCCTGGGCAACAGAGCTAGACCCTGTCTCTAAATAAATAAAATAAAGGGGAGAAGAAAAAGAAGACAGATTCTTTACCAAAGAATTTGTGGCATCCGGGCGCAGTGGCTCACGCCTGTAATCCCAGCACTTTGGGAGGCCAAGGCAGGTGGATCACGAGGTCAGGAGTTCGAGACTAGCCTGACCAACGTGGTGAAACCTCGTCTGTACTAAAAATACAAAAATTAGCTGGGCGTGGTGGCACACACCTGTAATCCCAGCTACTCAGGAGGCTGAGGCAGGAGAATTGCCTGAACCCAGGAGGCGGAGGTTGCCGTGAGCCAAGATCGCGCCACTGCACTCCAGCCTGGGCAACAGAGTGAGACTCCATCTAAAAAAAAAAAGCATCTGTGGCTACAGATCTCTCGATTCTCGTGTTCTTACTGTTGACTCTTCTTCCTCTCCTGTTCCTGAAAGGGCCACCTGAGTGAGGGGTATGGCCAGCTGTGCAGCATCTACCTGAAACTGCTGAGAACGAAGATGGAGTACCACACCAAAGTGAGTCTCTGTGGGCAACTCTGCCATCCCCGCCACCTCGCCTGCTCCATAGCCCTCAGCACCTCCCTGGGCTCAGTTCTCAGATCTTTCGGGTAATAGACTGCCAGGGTTTCTGGGGCAGTGTGCGAATCATGTACCCCAGCTGTGCGAGAGGAAAGCTGTCGCCAGGCCCCCAGGGCGAGATGAGGGCTGGGATTTTGGCCTGTGTCTTCTGCACTCTCTGTTCCCCAGGTTGCAACTAGAAAGAGCAACCAGCGGGCGCAGTGGCTCACACCTGTAATCCCAGCACTTTGGGAGGCCCAGGTGGGCAAATCACCTGAGGTCAGGTGTTCGAGACCAGCCTGGCCAACATGGCAAAACCCTATCTCTACAAAAAATACACAAATTAGCTAGACATGGTGGTGCATGCTTGTAATCCCAGCTACTCCAGAGGCTGAGGCGTGAGAATGGCTGGAACCCAGGAGGCAGAGGTTACAGTGAGCCGAGATGGCGCCACTGCACTCCAGCCTGAGCTACAGAGCAAGACTCTGTCTCAAAAAAAGAGAAGTATTAAATGAGAAGTGGAAGGAGGAAGAGCCTACAGTAGGATTTTAGGTGGAAAAGGAGAGAAGGCAGGGAGTGGAGAAATCAAGGCTGGGAAGAAGGTTAGGGAGGAAGAGGAGAGGGACGGGAGCCGGGGGAGCGGTGCTGCAGGGGTGACAGAGATCGGAGGGCCCCTTTCCTTGTGTATAAGAGAGCAGAGTTCAGTGGCATCAGAAGCAGCCAGTGCCAATGGCCAAACCCTTAGCTTTTAATCACGTGGAAGGGCAGAAGGGAATGGTCACGTGGGCTTCAAGAATTGGGGTCCAATGCGGATGCAGCTGACTTTGCTTCCAAAAGGCTCTGGAGCTCACTCCTCTCTTATTTTTCCTGGTTTTAGAAAGCAGGGAAGCTGGTGTCGTCTAAGTGTGGAGGAGCAAAGGACTTTTTGAGCTTTTAGCAATTAGCAATACAAGAGCAGGGAAGCAGGCTGGGTGCCGTGGCTCACACCTGCGATCCCAGCATTTGGGGAGGCCAAGGCTTGAGGCGAGACCAACTTGGGCAACAGAGCGAGACCCCATCTCTTAAAAAGAAAATGTTTTTTTTTTTCAATTAGGCTGGACGTGGTGGCTCACGCCTATAATCGCAGCACTTTGGGAGGCTTAGGCGGGTGGATTACCTGAAGTCAGGAGTTCAAGACCAACCTGGGCAACATGGTGAAACCTGTCTCTACTAAAGATACTAAAAAATTAGCCGGGCATGCTGGTGGATGCCTGTTAATCCCAGTTACTCAGGAGGCTGAGAGGCAGGAGAATCGCTTGAACCCAGGAGGCTGAGGTTGCAATGAGCTGAGATCATGCCATTGCACTCCAGCCTGGGCGACAGAGTGAGACTCCATCTCAAAAACAACAAGAAAAACTCCCGCACACGTTAAAGAAAAATTCATTCTCTGGCCAGGAGTGGTGTCTCATGCCTATAATCTCAGCACTTTGGGAGGCCAAGGCGAGCGGATCATCTGAGGTCAGGAGTTCAAAACCAGCCTGGCCAATGTGGCAAAACACCGCCTCTACTACATGTTAAAAAAAAAAAAAGAAAAAGAAATTAGCCCGGCATGGTGGTGTACGTCCCAGCTACTTACGAAGCTAAGGTGGAGGATCACTTGAGCCCAGGAATTGGAGGATCACTTGAGCCCAGGAATTGGAGGCTGCAGTGAGCGGTGACCACGCCATTGTACTCCAGTGTGGGCAACAGTGAGGCCCTGTCTCTAAAAAATAAAACAAGAGAGAAACAGGAGACAGTTGCTTCCCCCTCCTCTACCATGTAAGCGATGTAACCAGATTGAGGCCCCTCCTCCAGGGATGAAATCTGTCAACACCTTGACCTTGGACTCCCCAGCTGCCAGAACTGCGAGACACTGTCTGTGCTTTAAGCCACCCAGTGTGTGGTATCTTGTTATAGCTGCCCGAGCTGACAGACGGATGTTCAGGCTGGAGAGCTTCAATGCACAGGGACGCCAGCTGTGAGTCCTTTTCCAGGGACCGTTGGCAGCTGGCCCTAGGTGCAGAGCCCATGACAAGGACCCAGGCTCAGCGGGTCCTTGAAGCAGTGTGGTAGAAAGGCAGGCAGGGGGTGGGGGAGTGGAGCCAGGCCACCAGTCACCATGTCCAGACTGAGCCAAGAAGCAAATGCAGGCAGAGAGATGGGGAGGAGAGGGAGCAGGAGGGGACTGGCTGTCTCTGAGACAGAGGAGCTTGAGTAGTGGGTAGATTTGAGGGTGGAAGAGGCCTGGGTGATGCAGTCAGAGAGGGAGATGCTGGAGTGGAGAGTTCTAGGCAGGGATGTTTTAGATGATGGCAGAGTCCAGAGTGGGTGCACATAGCTTGGGGTGGAGTCGAGGTGAAAGTACTGAAATTGAGGAGGTCAGAGGTTGTAATCTCAGGGTGCATGACTTGGGGCAAAGGAAAACTGTGTCCCGGGTGCCAGAGACTTGGGTGAATGCCAGGTAGGGACCAGGAGATGCCTATCTTCATTGATGAGGAGATATAAAGCGGGAATGATCAATTCAAATGAACCTACAAGCCAGAGCCATGGTGATGGGGAGTGCAGAAACACTGGCAGCTGGGCACCATGGTGACTGGTGCCTGTCATCCTAGCACTTTGGGCAGCTGAGGTGGGAGGATCACTTGAGGCCAGGAGTTCAAGACCAGTCTGAGCAACACAGCAACATCCCATCTCATTTTATTTAATTTGTTTAGATTTATTTATTTATCATCCCAGCACTTTGGGAGGCTGAGGCCAGTGGATCACTTGAGCTTAGGAGTTTGAGACCAGCCTGGCCAACATGGTGAAACCCCATCTCTACTAAAAACACACAGATTAGCCAGGCCTGACGGCGCCATGGTGGTACATGCCTGTAATCCCAGTTACTTGGGAGGCTGAGGCAGGAGAATTACTTGAACCCAGAGGCGGAGGTTGCAGTGAGCCGAGATTGCGCCTGGGCAACAGAGCGAGCCTCTGTCTCAAAAACTTTAAAAAATTAAAGATTGATTTATTTATTTTGAGACAGAGTCTCGCTCTGTTGCCCAAGCTAGAGTACAGTGGCACGATCTTGGCTCACTGAAACCTCTGCCCTCTGGGTTCAAGAGATTCTTGTGTCTCAGCCTCCTGAGAAGCTGGAATTACAGGCGTGTGCCATCAGGCTTGGCTAATTTTTGTATTTTTAGTAGAGATGGGGTTTCACCATGTTGGCCAGGCTGGTCTCCAACTCCTGACCTCCAGTGATCTGCCCAGCTTGGCCTCCAAAGGGCTGGGATTGCAGGCGGGAGCCACCACGCCTGGCCTAGAACCTAAGGTATTCACTTGAACATGTGGAAGCCCCACGATGGAATGGCCACCCATCTGTGGCCTTTTCCCTTTGCCACAGGGACAAACACACAAATGACAGGATCATGCTATAGATACTGAGCAATTATTGATGACACCAGCTAGTTTTTCTTTTCTTCTTGTTTTGAGGTAGGGTCTCACTCTCTAGCCAGGCTGGAGTACAGCGGCCTTGAACTGTAGCCTTAAACTCCTGGGCTGAAGCCATCCTCCCGCCCGGGCCTCCCAAGTAGCTGGGACCGCAGGTGTGTGCCACCACGCCCGGCTGGAAGAGTTCTTTATGTGCCCCGTCCTGACTCCCTCTGCCTCCATTCCAGAATCCCAGGTTCCCAGGCAACCTGCAGATGAGTGACCGCCAGCTGGATGAGGCTGGAGAAAGTGACGTGAACAACTTGTAAGTGGCACCTGCCCTGAGCCCAGGGAGGGAGAAAGCTTTTGTGGATGCTGTCACTTCTCATACGGGTCATCGAGGGCCTGATGGGAGGGGCCTTGGCTGGGGTGGGCACCAAAGCCCCCAGGTGACTGGGCCTTGGGGCCGTTTATTTATTGCTGGTGCCTTGTCCAGAACCCCGGCCTGGCTGTTTCACACCCCACAGCTTTCCTGTCTGTCTCACTTTCAGCCCTCCAACTCCAACACTGCTACCTATCCTCTCCCTCTGTCACTGTCACTATTTTTTTTCTTTTTGAGAAGGAGTCTCACTCTGTTACCTAGGCTGGCGTGCAGTGGCGTAATCTCAGCTGACTGCGGCCTTCACTTCCTGGGTTCAAGGGATTCTCCTGCCTCAGCCTCCCGAGTAGCTGGGATTACAGGTGCCTGCCACCACGCCCAGGTAATTTTTGTATTTTTAGTAGAGATGGGTTTTCACCACGTTGGCCGGGCGGATCTCGAACTCCTGACCTCAGGTGATCCACCCACCTTGGCCTCCCAAAGTTCTGGTATTACAGTTGTGAGCCACCACACCTGACCTGTCGATGTTACTGTTGACTCTTCACCGGCCCGCATTTGCAAATGGCCATAGTACCCATGGGGCTTAGACTTGGAGCTGGAGTTGTGTGTGTGTGCACGCAGGCACATCATGAGCGTTGGGGACCGGAGGCAGCAGTGTAGAGCGTCCGGGAGGGGACGGGTAACAGACCGGCCTCAGGCTGTGGAGTGTAAGCTCTTTCCTCTTGGGTTCAGTTTCCAGTTAACAGTGGAGATGTTTGACTACCTGGAGTGTGAACTCAACCTCTTCCAAACGGGTGAGTCTCTTCCCTCCCGTCTAACCCAGACTCTCATGGGAACCGCCCAACTCCCAACCCACCTCTCCCTGCAAGGTGTGAGGCACAAGGGGTAGGAAAATGGAGACATTGACACCCCGTCTCTGGGGTCTCCATTCCTCTGCAGGGAGGGACTGAAGCTCTTTGGTATTTTTTAATTATATTTTAAGTTCTGGGGTACATGTGTCGAATGTGCAGGTTTGTTACCTAGGTATACATGTGCCATGGTGGTTTGCTGCACCCATCAACCCATCATCTACATTAGGTATTTCTCCTAATGCGATCCCTCTGTTAGCCCCCCACCCCGCAACAGGCCCCAGTGTGTGATCTTCCCCTCCCTGTGTCCATGTGTTATTGTTCAGTACCTACTTATGAGTGAGAACATGCGGTGTTTGGTTTTCTGTTCCTGTGATAGTTTGCTGAGAATGATGGTTTCCAGCTTCATATATGTCCTTGCAAAGGACATTTACTCATCATTTTTTATGGCTACATAGTATTCTATGGTAATATGTGCCACATTTTCTTTATCCAGTCTATCACTGATGGGCATTTGGGTTGGTTCCAGGTCTTTGCTATTATGAACAGTGCTGCAATAAACTTACGTGTGCATGTGTCTTTATAATAGAAAGGTCTCTGCCGGGCACAGTGGCTCACGCCTGTCATCCCAGCACTTTGGGAGGCTGAAGAGGGTGGATCACTTGACGTCAGATGTTCAAGAACAGCCTGGCCGACATGGTGAAACCTCATCTCTACTAAAAATTCAAAAATTAGCTGGGCATGGTGGGGCATGCCTGTAATCCCAGTTACTTGGGAGGCTGAGGAAGGAGAATTGCTTGAACCCAGGAGGTGGAGGTTGGAATGAGCCAAGATTGCACCATTGCACTCCAGCCTGGGCAACACAGCAAGACTCCATCTCGGAAAAAAAGAGAGAGTGAGAGAGAGACAAGGTCTTGCTCTGTCGCCCAGGCTGGGCGTGGCATGGCACACTGCAACTTCCAACAAGCGATCCTCTCACCTCAGCCTTCCAAGCATCTGGGACTACAGGCACACACCACCACATCTAGCTGATTTTTGAATATTTTTTGAAGAGATGGGGGTCTCACTGTATTGCCCAGGCTGGTCTTGAACTCTCGCCCTCAAGGTATCTTCCTGACTCAGCCTCCCGAAGTCCTGGGATGACAGGCCTGAGCGACCACATTTGGTCGCCTAGGTATTTTCAAAGTGGGTGGTTTCACGTTTGAGCAGAAAGACCACACACTGCCCTTTCCTGCTGGCCTCTCTCCTGAAGCGCAGGCCTCCAAAATCCCAAAGACAGGACTTACCTCTTTGCTAGCCCCTGGACTGTGGCTATGGCCCTGCACAGCCCTTGGTCTGGTCCTGTCTGCCACTCAGAGCGGGGTTGGCTCATGGGCCCCATTTCTGCTGAGGAGGAAGGGCTCGTGTCTGTTCTTGAGTTGGCAGCCATGGGAACAAGCTCGTCAGGACTGGTTGTCACCCAAGTCCACATGAGAAGCTCACAGAGTCCTGTTCCATGAGCAGGGAGAGTTGGCCACACTTCCAGGCTCCCGCCTGCCAAGAACTGTGGGTGCTTACAGACCCCCAACACTTCTCTGACAAGCCTCAGCTGGTCCCCTTCTCTCCAGCGTGTCTCCGCCCCACACCTCCCAGCGGGCTCCCCTCCCTTCGCTGGGGGACATAAGCCCAGTGTTCTGAGACTCAGCACATTCCATGACAAGCATCCAGCTGAAAGAGGATGTTCCACATTGCAGGTCTCCATGCACAAGCCTGGCGGGCTTCTCTGCATGTGGACACGCAGGGCTCACTCTTAGGGCTTGGACTCTCTTGCCCTGAATTTCAGCTTCCTTCAGCATGTTCATCTGTGCAGATATGCCTGCTACTGGCTTCTTTTCCAGAATATTCAGTTTTGTGTCATACTACTATAGCTGGGACAGGGTGACAAATTCCATAATATATTGACCAGTTTTCAGCACAGGATGTGGTCAGAAAAACACCAGAAATAGGTCGGGCGCAGTGGCCCACGCCTGTAATCCCAGCACTTTGGGAGGCTGAGGTGAGCAGATCACCTGAGGTCAGAAGTTCGAGACCAGCCTCACCAATATGGTGAAACCCCATCTTTTAAAAAAAAAAAAGAGTACTAGATTAGCTGAGACAATGAGTGAGGAGGGCAGGTGGTGAGCTCAGCCATCTTTTTTGTGCCGTATCTCATGAGCCCTAGCTCTGGTTTTTTGTGTTTTGTTTTCGTTTTTGTTTTTTGAGATGGAATTTTGCTCCGTCACCCAGGCTGGAGTGCAGTGGCACCAGCTCAGCTCACTGTGACCTCTACCTCCCAGGTTTAAACAATTCTGCCTCAGTCTCCCAAGTAGCTGGGATTATAGGCACATGCCACCACGCCTGGCTATGTTTTGTATTTTCAGTAGAGATGGGGTTTCACCATGTTGGCCAGGCTGATCTCAAATGCCTGGCCTCAAGTGATCTGCCTGCCATGGCCTCCCATGAGCTACCGTGCGCAGCCTGCTCTGGTTTTATATGCATCGTTCGCTAATATTATTACCATGAGATGCTGAGCTCTTCCTTAAAACAAGGAACCATGACCTACTCATCTTTCAGTTCTCTCTGTTCTAGCCCAGAGCCTGGTGAATAGCAGGCATTCAGCAATAAAAGAACGCTTGCTTTTTGAAAAACAGAGATAGCCAGGTGGGGTGTGGCTCGCGCCTGTAAACGCAGCACTTTAGGAGGCCAAGGTGGGAAGAGTGCTTGAATCCAGGAGGTAAATACAGGTAGCTCTGCTCCAAAAGACTCTGGGTAATTCCCCTTAGAGATTCCCATAGCATGCAGCTGAAGTTTCACTATTTAATGAACTGTTTACCTATTTCATCACTGCTGTTTTTCTTTTCTCTCTCTCTCTCTCTCTTTTTTTTTTTTTTTTTTTTTTTTTTTGAGATGGGTTGTGGCTCTGTTGCCCAGGTTAGAGTACTGTGGTATGGCACAATCATAGCTCACTGCAGCCTTGACCTCTCAGGCTTAAGTGATCCTCTCTTGCCTCAGCCTACTGTGTATCTGGGACCATGGGTGTACGCCACCACATCCGGCTAAGTTTTAAATTTTTTTGTAGAGATAGGGTCTTGCCGTATTACTAGGCTGGTCTTGAACTCCTGAGCTCAAGTGATCCTTCCACCTCAGCCTCTCAAGTGCTGGGATTATAAGTATGAGTCACCATGCCCAGCCTCCTGTGTTTTAAGAAACACCCACGATGTGCACTAACAGGGTGCTCACTAGCCCCATGTTATCATTGAGCTTGATTACAGTTAAATAACATTAAAAGTCAGGTCCTCGGCTGCACTAGGCATATTTCAGGCATATTTCAGGTAGCCACATATGGCTAACATATTAGAAGGTTTATGTGACCATTTTCATAATTACAGAATTCTATTGGATAGCACTATTGCGGGCAATTCTGATGCATGCTAAAATTTGGCAATCACTGAACTTGAACATATAGTTTTCAACCCTGGATCCAGATTAGAATCTACCTGGTGGCTTTTTTTTTTTTTTTTTTTTTTTTTTTCCTTTTTTTTTCTGAAACACAGCCTGGCTCTTGTTGCCCAGGCTGGAGTGCAGTGGTGCAATCTCAGTTCACTGCAACCTCCGCCTCCTGGCTTCAAGCAATTCTCGTGCCTCATCCTCCTGAGTAGCTGGGACTACAGGTGCCTGCCACCACACCCAGCCAATTTTTTGTATTTTTAGTAGAGACATGGTCTTGCCATGTTGGCCAGGCTGGCCTGGAACTCTTGACCTCACACAGTCCGCCCACCTCAGCCTCCCAAAGTGCTGGGATTACAGGTGTGAGCCACAGTGCCTGGCCTCATGGAGGATGGCAGGGGGAGGCTTTTGAAACACAGGGATATCCCAACATACCACAGGCCAATTGAAACGGGGGGCGGGGGGCGGTTCTGGGTGTTGCAGGAAGACATTCGCTTTTCAGTCTCCTCAGGCTCAAAGCCAAAGTCAAGAAGCGCCGCACAATCCCATGCACTTTTCACAACATTCTTATTGAAGTCTTATGAGACGCTTATGAGGTATGCACTGTTACAGCTGCATGTGTGCTACAGAAGGGCTTCTGGGGACACAGCGGGGCTGAGTACCTTGTCCACAGTGACACCGCTTTAGATGTTCCTGGGGACCAAAGGGCATTCCTGGAAGGCACTGGGAATCGAGGGCAGGCAGGGAGATGGAACAGCCTGTGGCTCCTGCCAGTTGGAGCCTGAGGAAGCCGGCAGACTTGGGGATGGCTGCCTCACAGTGACAGCTGCCTGTAATTTGTGTCAAGAAGAAAAGCTGCCTTTTAATTAGAACAGTTTGGGATTTTTTTTTTTTTTCCAGCCGCCAGACTAACCCAGTTACCAGGGATTAGTGCAGTCAGGGGAAACGGAACACACGCAGCCCTGGGCTTCCCTCTGGGCCAGCTCCGCTTGCAGAGGGACCGCAGGGAGGGTCATTTCATTGCCCACCGAGAGCAGTCTGCAGAGGCAGTGAGTGGCCAGTGCAAGAAGAAAAATCAGCCCTGGCCAGTGGTGTGCACTGAGTGTCTGCAGCCAGGCGGCCAGTTGCTTGAACTAGGATGGGGGGTAGGGGGTTGGTGTGGAGGGAGTCCTAGAGTGCGAAATTGAGGGAGCAACTTCGTCTCTGAAACTCAAGAGAGTGAAGGCAGGACTTCTGTCTTTGTCAATAGGTGCCCCGAGTTTCAGCCTTGGATCCTGACATGTCTTCTTTCTCCCAAGCCCTTTTTCTTATTTTTCTTGTTTCTTGTTTTGTTTTGTTTTTGTTTTTATTTTTTTGGCAGGGTGGGGCAGTTTCTTTTGAGATTGAGTCTCGCTTTATCGCCCAGGCTGGAGTGCAGCAGCACCATCTCAGCTCACTGCAACCTCCGCCTCCCGGGTTCAAGCGACTCTCCCACCTCAACCTCCCAAGTAGCTGAGATTACAGGCACCCACCACCACACCCAGCTAATTTTTGTATTTCAGTAGAGATGGGGTTTCACGATGTTGGCTAGGCTGGTCTCGAACTCCTGACGTCAAGTGATCCACCTTCCTTGGGCTCCCAAAGTGCTGGGATTACAGGCGTGAGCTACCACGCCTGGTTTGTTTTGTTTTATTTATTTATTTATTTATTTATGAAGCAGGTTCTCACTCTGTCACCAAGGCTGGACTGCAGTGGTGCGATCTTGGCTCACTACAGCCTCCACCTCCTGGGTTCAAGAGTTTCTCCTGCCTCGGCCTCCCAAGTCGCTGAGGTTACAGGCATGAGCCATCACGCCTGGCTAATTTTTGGATTTTTAGTAGAGATGAAGTTTCGCTTGTTGCTCAGGCTGGTCTCAAACTCTCGGGCTCAGGCAGTTCTCCCACGCCAGCCTCCCAAAGTGCTGGGATTACAGGTACAAGCCACTGCACCTGGCTGAGACCCAGTCTCTTAAAAAAGAAAAATAGGAAGATGAGGCTCTTCCTCTATGTCCTCCATGATAGGAGCTCTCCCAGGTTATAAGCAAATTTCTTTCCAGGCTAGCATGGGGCTCGGCGTTTAGTTCACCCGTTCATGATGCACCGAATGTTTTGACTCTCAGGAGCAGAGTCACCTGGCCTAACCATCACTGGCCCCATCAGCTCTTGGGCTCTCTGACAAATCTGTTAACTTACCACCTCTCAACAAAACCACTTTTTTTTTTTGTTTGTTTGAGATGGCATCTTGCTCTGTCTTTCAGGCTGGAGTGCAGTGGCAAGATCTCAGCTCACAGCAACCTCCGCCTCCCGGGTTCAAGTGATTCTCTTGCCTCAGCCTCCTGAGTAGCTGGGATTACAGACGTGCACCACCATGCCTAGCTAATTTTTGTGTTTTTAGTAGACATAGGGTTTTCCCATGTTGGAGAGGTTAGTCTCGAACTCCTGACCTCAGGAGATCCGCCCACCTCAGCCTCCCAAAGTGCTGGGATTACAGGCATGAGCCACCACACCCAACGAAAACCACTTCCTGACTTTGTGACGGCCTTCAAGTTACTTACCTTTTGTTTCTTCACCGGTCTAATGCGGATACGGTTACCTATCTCATGGGAGTGATGTGCAAATTAAATGAATTAGATGAGGTAAAGCGTGCACAGAATCGGTCCTTGGTGTATGTTAGACCCCGGCCTCTGCCCCTCCGTAGAGATCGTCTATCATTCCCTGGCCCTACCACCTTTCTCCCTCACTTTTATTTCCTAGTGTTCAACTCCCTGGACATGTCCCGCTCTGTGTCCGTGACGACAGCAGGGCAGTGCCGCCTTGCCCCCCTGATCCAGGTCATATTGGACTGCAGCCACCTTTATGACTACACTGTCAAGCTTCTCTTCAAACTCCACTCCTGTGAGTACCGCAGACCCGATCTTCTTATGTGAGATTCAGGCCAGAGGGAGGATCCCAGCCTGAGGGTGTCCCTGGAGAAATGCAGCCCTTCTCAGTGCCTTTGGCTGTACCTCCTTCTGTTCCAAAAGGTCCGGGAGCTCCTGACCATTGTGACAATACAAGAGCAGGGCCCGGGCTTTGGTGTGTCCAGGAAAGCACCTGGCTTGCCACTGTTGTATCCCAGTGTGTTACAGGATCTTTAGGGTGTTGATTTCTCTGGCTGGAAACCTCTGTGGCTAGTGGCGCCTTTGCCTGAGGTCTTGTTCTGCATCCAGGAAGAATGAGGTATGCAGACAAGCGGTCGGTGGACAAGATGAAGAGAGTGTTAGTGAGTATTAGAGCAGCTCAGAGGAGCCCGCAGTGGGTAGCCCTCTCTGCAGGCAGAGTGTTCAGCTCTCAGCAGAAAAGAGACCACAGAGTGAGTGGCTCCTCTGCAGCTGGTCGTCCTGGCGTTTCTGCAGGTCTCTGAAGCCCTCAGCAGAGAGGGTTGCTCCTCTTTGTAACTGGACGTCCATCTCTGCTTAGCTGTGGCTGCGCTCAGGGCTTTTATGGGCCTCAGAGGGGAGGAAATGCACCCCCACTGGTCCCTGGGCAGACCCAGAAAAGGCACCATAAATTCCCATTTCGGTCTGTGGGATCGACAACCCGGCCCCCACTGGGGACCCGTTGCTTCCACCCAGGAACCTCTCTGCCTCCCGCTGCCATTCATGGCACCAGGGTTCAGCCCCAACTTTGCTCTAACATCGGAATGGGTGCCTACAGGAGGGACAAGAAGCCAGGCAGCGGAGAAGGCTCTTCTGGGTGTGTAAGGGGAAGGAGAGCCTTCCCAGGCCCCAGAGAGTGCAGGGATGCCTGAGTCTGCAGCTGGGCTTGTGGGTGGGTGTGGGGTGGCGGGGCTGCTACCTGCTTCAGGGAGCAGGGGGCCCTGGTCTGCAGCTGCACCCAGGAGGGCAGGGTTCCTGCCTGCTCCCGGCCCCCAGAGAGCACCGGGAGGCTCAGATCTGCAGCCACAACTTGGGCGGCTACAGCCCCACCCAGCGGGGGAGAGGCTTCTGCCTGCCCCATGGAGTACGAAGCCCTGACCATGCCTCCCTGCTGCAGCTGGCATGATGGCAGTGGCAGGCCACCTGGACTGGGGGCTGCCATCACCAGGTCTTCTCTGTCTGCCTCTAGCTTCAGCACATCACCATGCCTTAAATATGTCATGTATCCTACGAACCACACAATGAATAGCAGACCCGGCCGAGACCTGCATGAGCCAACGTAATGATTTCCAGACCGTTTAGCCACACGATTCCTTTGTGCGAATGGAATTTTATGGAGAAATATAAATTATAAAACACAGCTGCTCATTAAATGGAGACCTAACCCTCACCTAGCTTTAGTTCCCTGGGGTGCCCTTAGCAGAATACATATAGTTTGGAGGTTCTGGTCTTGCAGAAGTTCTTTTTTTTTTTTTTTTTTTTTTTTTGGGACGGAGTTTCGCTCTTACCCAGGCTGGAGTGCAATGGCGCGATCTCGGCTCACCGCAACCTCCGCCTCCTGGATTCAAGCAATTCTCCTGCCTCAGCCTCCTGAGTAGCTGGGATTACAGGCACGCGCCACCATGCCCAGCTAATTTTTTGTATTTTTAGTAGAGACAGGGTTTCACCATGTTGACCAGGATGGTCTCGATCTCTTGACCTCGTGATCCACCCGCCTCGGCCTCCCAAAGTGCTGGGATTACAGGCGTGAGCCACCGCGCCCGGCAGAAGTTCTTATACCTTTTTTTTGAGACAGTCTCACTCTCTCACTCAAGCTGCAGTGCAGTGGCGTGATCTCAGCTCACTGCAACCTCTGCCTACCGGGTTCAAGTGATCCTTGTGCCTTAGCCTCCCAAGAAGCTGGGACCACAGGTGTGTGCTACCACACCCAGCTAATTTTTGTTTGTTTTTTGAATTTTTGGTAGAGATGGGGTTTCCCCATGTTGACCAGGTTGGTCTCAAACTCCTAGCCTCAAGAGATCCGCCCACCTCAGCCTCCTGAAGTGCTAGGATTACCGGGTATAACCCACCGCACCCAGCCAGTTCTTATACTTTGGTGTGCTTCTGGTTTAAAATGATGTGTCTGGGCCAGGCACAGTGGCTCATACCTGGAATCCCATCACTTTGGGAGGCTGATGCAGGCAGATCTCTTGAGCTCAGGGGTTGGAGATCAGCCTGAGCAACATAGCGAAACCCCTGTCTCTACAAAAAATACAAAAATTAGCCAGGCATGGTGACATACATCTACAGTCCCAGCTAGCCAGGGGGCTAAGGCTGGAGGATTGCTTGAGCCCAGGAGGTCAAGGCTACAGGGAGCCATGTTTGTACACTCCAGCCTGGGCAACAGAGCAAGACCCTGCCTCAAAAAAAAAAAAAAAAATTAGCAGCATAAGACAGTATACTCTGTAACTGTGGTCATTGACACGTATGAGTCTCGTTATTTAGACAGTACAAGGGAAGGAAGTAGCATCGCTTAGATTAATCTGGGATGGTTTTGTGGAAAGGGAGATTGGAATTAGCTGCCCAAGGATTAGAAAGGTTTAGCAAGTCAGCCTGCCGGAAGGGAGCTGGGAGGGTGGAGTGAGCCCCCAAGAGAAGGGACCAGCTACTTAGAGCACTGAATGCAGATGACCTTTTCATTGTTATCAATGGAAACTTATTATTTCCAAGAACACTGTTTGTTGCTCAGTAGAACGTCGCCACTGCCTTTTTGTAAAATGGGGAGTTAAGCCGGGCGTGGTGGTGCACACCTGTAGTCCCAGCTACCCAGGAGGCTGAGAGAGTTATGAGAAGAGACAGGTAATTAAGTGTTTGGGTTTAAAGGCCTTCTTTGAAGGCAGGGCAATACCCAAGACCCACACTGATTGCCTCTGGGCTGGGAAAGGGGTAGGAGGGAGACTCTCTACAATATATACTTTTTTTGGAGACAGGGTCTCACTCTGTCATCCAAGCTGAAGTGTAATGGCACGATCTCAGCCCACTGCAACCTTCACCTCCCGGGTTCAAGCCATTCTCCTGCCTCAGCCTCCCGAGTAGCTGGGATTACAGGTGCCTGCCACCACACCTGGCTAATTTTTGTATTGTTTTTAGTAGAGACAGGGTTTCTCCATGTTGGCCAGGCCGGTCTTGAACTCCTGAGCTCAAGTGATCTTCCCGCCTCAGCTTCCCAAAGTGCTGGGATTATGGGCGTGAGCCACTGCACTGGGCCCTCTTTTCTAAAAATAAACATTTATTTTTGTTTTAGGTTTACGGAAATGTTATAAATTTAGTAACGAGAGTTCTCGTATATCCAGTACCGTTTTCCATGTATTCATATGTTAGTATGAAACGTTTGTCACAACTAATGAACCAGCGTCGATACTTTATTAATTAAAGTTTGTACTTTATTCAGATTGTCACAGTTGTCCCAGAATCTCATCCAGTACACCATATGACACCATGTGACATTTAGTTGTGATGTCTCCTTAGGTTCCTCTTGGCTATGATGTTTCATTTCTCAAACTTCTCTTATTTTTGATGACTTTGACAGTTTTGAGTTTTTTGCATAATGTTCCTGGATTCTGTTTGCCTGACGTTTTTCTCCTGATTTAACTGGGGTTAACGGTTCTTGGGGGAAGGATCATTTAGGTCAAGTGCCATATTCGTTCACTGTCCACTTTTGCCATTTTGTTTTTGTTTTTGTTGGGTTTTGTTTTTTTTTTTTTTTCCATAATCAGGCCTTGCTCTGTCACCCAGGCTAGAATGCGGTGGTGCAATCATAGCTGACTATGGCCTCAAATTCCTGGGCCAAAAGATCCTCCCACCTCAACCTCTGGAGTAGCCAGGACCCCAGTACACACCACCACACCTGGCCAACTTTTATTTTTTAATTTTTCTAGAGATGGGGGTCTCGCTATGTTACCCAGGCTGGTCTCAAACTCCCGGGTACAAGCGATCCTCCCCGCTCAGCCTCCCAAAGTGTTGGGATTACACATGGGAGCCATTGCACCCAGCCATCTTTTGCCATTTCGATAATCATGTTTTATACATGTGTTCCCTGATTTTATCTAATGAATGTATGACCCATTTCAAAATAACAGATTTAAATTTAAACAAATAAAGCAAACACTAAAAGGATTGCCAAGCCGTGGATCTATAGCTGAAATACGCAAATTCGCACACCTGAGAGGTGACAGGCCCTCAGAGAACCGGCTCTAGAGAGGAGGAGGCTGCGCTAAGAGGCCACCGCATGTACAGTGTCATAGAGTTAGCTACCGACCAAGCCAGGGACTGGAACTCAGATCCCAAGCCTCAATCCTTTGGGTTTGTTGTTGTTGTTGTTGTTGTTGTTTTGAGACTGAGTTTCGCTCTTGTTACCCAGGCTGGAGTGCAATGGCGTGATCTCGGCTCACCGCAACCTCCGCCTCCTGGGTTCAGGCAATTCTCCTGCCTCAGCCTCCTGAGTAGCTGGGATTACAGGCACGTGCCACCATGCCCAGCTAATTTGTTGTATTTTTAGTAGAGATGGGGTTTCACCATGTTGACCGGGATGGTCTCGATCTCTTGACCTCGTGATCCACCCGCCTCGGCCTCCCAAAGTGCTGGAATTACAGGCTTGAGCCACCGCACCCGGCTTGGGTTTTTTGTTGTTATTGTTGTTATTATTGTTGTTGTTGTTGTTGTTGTTGTTTCTTTTCTTTTTTTTTTTTTTTTAAAGATGGGGATTTCACCATAATGGCCCAGCTGGTCTTGAACTCCTGACCTCAGGTGATCCACCCACCTTGGCCTCCCAAAGTGCTAGGATTACAGGCGTGAGCCACCGCACCCAGCCCTGTTGTTGTTGTTTTGAGATCGAGTCTCTGTCGCCTGGGCTAGAGCACAACAGTGCGATCTCGGCTCACTGCAACCTCTGCCTCCTGGATTCAAGCGGTTCTCCTGCCTCAGTCTCGGGAGTAGCTGGGACTACAAGTACATGCCACCATGCCCAGCTAATTTTTTGTATTTTTTAGTAGAGATACGGTTTTCACCATGTTAGCCAGGATGGTCTTGATCTCCTGACCTCGTGATCTGCCTGCCTAGGCCTCCCGAAGTGCTGGGATTACAGGCGTCAACCACCACGCCCAGCCCCCTTGTTCTTTTTTTGGCAGAGTCTTGCTGTCAAAAAGTGCAAAAAGTCCAGTGGTGCGATCTCAGCTCACTGCAACCTCCGCCTCCCTGGTTGAAGTGATTCTCCTGCCTCAGCCTCCCGAGTAGCTGGGATTACAGGCATCTGCCACCACACCCAGCTAATTTTTGTATTTTTAGTAGAAGCAGGGTTTCACCATGTTGGCCAGGCTGGTCTTGAACTCCTGACCTCAAGTGATCCTCCCGCCTCGGCCTCCCAAAGTGCTGGGATTACAGGCGTGAGCCACCGCGCCCAGCCTTCAACCCCTTGTTCTTTGCCTTCTGACAGCCATCCTCTGGGGCAGGCTCTATGGATCTCTTCCAGACCAATACCAGCCCTGAGCCTCAGCGTAAAACTAATGCAGGCAATACCTGAGAAACAACTGCTCCCTCGTGTGCCTGCCATGGTCCTGCTGAGTCAGGTCACCGCTGCTTCTCTAGTCCGGGACACCATTTCCACCCTATTGTTCCCGGCATGACTTGTCCTTCAGGAACTCACCAAAGCGGAAGGATTTGGAGGATAAGCGTCTCCACACTGCTGCTGGTTCCTGCTGGGCTCCCTTGGTTCCCAGACCTCGGGACAGCTCTAAGCCAGTCGTGGCCGCTGGCAGTGCTGGCCACATGCCCCAGGATGGCTGGGCCCCTCCCCCTCCAGAGCCCTGCTGTGGCTTCGCTGCCCTCTGGTCCTCCTTCCCTCTCATACTCTTTCCAATTTCTTCCAGGCCTCCCAGCTGACACCCTGCAAGGCCACCGGGACCGCTTCATGGAGCAGTTTACAAAGTAAGTTATTCAAGTAACAGGAATGGAGGTGAATCCAAGAGCGCTATGAAATCATTAAGTCAGGCCAGGCGCAGTTGCTCACGCCTGTAATCCCAGCACTTTGGAAGGCTGAGGCGGGTGGATCGCAAGGTCAAGAGTTCAAGACCAGCCTGGCCAAGATGATGAAACCCCGTCTCTACTAAAAATACAAAAAGTATCATGGTGGTGGGCGCCTATAATCCCAGCTACTTGGGAGGCTGAGACAGAGAACTGCTTAAACCCAGGAGACGCAGGTTCCAATTAGTTGAAATCGCGCCACTGCACTCCAGCTTGGGCAACAGAGCTCAAAATAAATAAATAAAAATAAAATCATTAAGCCGCATGAGAACACTGGCTTTAAAATACTTGAGAGGTGGCTGGACACAGTGGCTCATGCCTATAACCCCAACACTTTGGAAGGCTGAGGCAGGAGGATTGCTTGAAGCCAAGAGTTCCACACCAGGCTAGGCAACATAACGACAACCCGTCTCTATAGAAAAACACGTAAAACAAATTAGCTGGGCATGGTGGTATGTACCTGTGATCCCAGCTACTCTTGAGAGGCTGAGGCAGGAGGATGGCCTGAGCCCAGGAGTTCGAGGCTGCAGTGAGCTGTGATTGTGCCACTGCACTCCAGTCGAGGTGACAAAGTGAGACCCTATCTCTAAAAAAATTTTTAAATACTTGGGGGTAAGTTTATCTTCATTCTATGGTGATGAAGTGACAGACAATAGCTCAGACAGAGACAAATCTACCTACAGCTGGGGTAACTAGTGGTTCTCTGATAAATCTCACAGAAGCATACAGAAGAAAGAGAGAGTTCATCCGTTCTTTAGTTGCCTGCTCACACCCCAGACTTCTTCCTCTTCTCTTTTCTCTCTCCCTGAATTCTGGTCTTGTAGCATTTATAGACTGATAACCCCTAATTATGTATCTCTAGCCAAGTCTTACTTCTGAATTCCAACCTCTTGTGCCTGGTTAGACATCCGTATACCATACTTAAATCTCCAACTGTACTCTAGGTTTTCCCAAAAATAGCCTTTCTCTCTTCATTCCTTTATTTTTTTTCTTTTTTGAGATAGAGTCTCACTCCGTTACCCAGCCTGGAGTGCAGTGGTGCGATCTCAGCTGACTGCAACCTCAGCTTCCCTGTCTCCAGTGAGTCTCCTGCCTCAGCCTCCCGAGTAGCTGGGATTGTAGACATCCACCATCATGCCCGGCTAATTTTTGTATTTTTAGTAGAGACAGGGTTTCACTATGTTGGACCAGGCTGGCCTCGAACTCCTGACCTCAAGTGATCTGCCCACCTCGGGCTCCCAAAGTGATGGGATTGCAGGGGTGAGGCACCATGCCCAGCCCCTCCCCATTCTTTTCTATCTCAACAAATACTGCCATCATCCATTTAGGCCAGAGATCTGGAAGTCACTATTTTCCTCATTCCCCTATGTCCAATCCATTAGCAGGTTTGGTTGATACCCTACAAATACGACCTGCTCCCGAAGTGGGATGGGGGGGCTAGACTCCAGAGGCAGGGCTTGGGCATCGGACCAAATTAAGGACGAGTAAAACAGGGAAGGGGAGGAAGCACCGCTGCATAAGACACGCCCACCAGTATGCCGTGAGAGTTTACCATTGCTATGGCAACGCCCGGAAGTGAGTGCCTCTTTCCAGTGGCAATAACCTGCCAATCCTGGAAGTTACCACTTTTTGTCTAGAAATGTCTGCATGACCTGCCCCTTCATTTACGTAAAATTAAAAGTGGATATAAATATGACAGCAGCTATTCTAGGCTCACTGCCTATGGGGTAGCCCTGCTCGTCAAGGAGAGGACCCCTGCTGTTACTGTGCACTGCTGCCTCAGTAAAAGTTGCTAACACCAGCCGGGTACAGTGGCTCACGCCTGTAATCCCAGCACTTCGGGAGGCCGAGGCAGGCAGATCACTTGAGGTCAGGAGTTAAATACCAGCCTGACCAACATGGTGAAACTCTGTCTCTACTAAAAATCCAAAAATTAGCCAGGCTTGGTGGCACACACCTGTAATCTCAGCTGACTCGGGCGGCTGAAGCAGGAGAATTGCTTGAACCCAGGAGGTGGAGGTCGCAGTGAGCCAACCTCACATCACTGCATTCCAGCCTGGGTAACAGAAGGAGATTCCACTTCAAAACAAAATAAAATAAAGATCTTTATTTAGGCCGGGTGCGGTGGCTCACGCCTGTAATCTCAGCACTTTGGGAGGCTGAGGTGAGTGGATCACTTGAGGTCAGGAGTTCGAGACCAGCCTGGCCAACATGGTAAAACCCAGTCTCTACTAAAAATACAAAAATTAGTCAGGTGTGGTGGCACACACCTGTAATCCCAGCTACTTGGGAGGTTGAGGCGAGAGAACTGCATGAACCTGGGTGGCAGAGTCGGCAGTGAGCTGAGATCGTGCCACTGTACTGCAGCTTGGGCAACAGAGCAAGACTGTTTTGAGGCTGCATCTCAAAAAAAAAAAAAAAAAGAGAGAGAGAGAGAGAAAGAAAGCATGACCAGGCAAAAGGGAAGGAACAGGGTGAGAGCTGGGAGGACAGAGGGAGCTGAAAAGGGCCTCCTGGCTTCTGTATACGGGCATCCTCTTGTTTTTCCTATTAATTTCCTCACCCTTGACCGTAGCTCCCAAATGCCAAGTTTTACCTTCTCTGGCCACTTCCCCGGGAGCGAGCAAAGGACAAGCGCGTGGTGGTTCCCACCTCCTGGTTCCTCTGTTCCGTTTGAGAAGCCAAGTACGTATTCTAAGATAAATGGCTTCTTTAGTCCCAGGAGACAGACCCTGGGGCTGATTTCCTGGAATGTGAAATTCCGGTAGCTTGTGAAAGCCTGTGAAAGCCGTCAGCCTGTTACTGTTGGCTCCAACCCAGCAAGATGGGGACGTGTGGTCAGGTGATTTCATTTCCTTTCGTTTTCTCCTCGCTTATGAAAACATCTCCCCTGAGTAGATGGGAACAGCCTTGCTGTTTCGCACAGACACAGCCCCCTGTCTGAGACCTCACTGTCCTTGAATTCAGGGGAAGTGGCAGTGATGTCACAGAGACGGGCCTAAGTCTGGGAATCTGACCGGCTACGAGACCCTGGGGGTTTCAGTGATTGGGCTGAGCTGAAGAAAATTATGTGTCGCAGGCCGAAGGGGTTAAGGCCCATGTTCCCCTTTTATCTGAGAATAGATAAGTCTGAACTGGGCATGATGGTGCAAACCTATCCTTCCAACTACTTGGGAGGCTGAGGTGGGAGGATCGCTTCAGCCCAGGAGGTCAAGGCTGACAGTGAGCCATGATCATGCCTACTGTACTCCAGCCTGGGTGACAGAGCAAGACCCTGTCTCTAAAAAAAAGATTAAAAGAGGTCAAGCGTGGTGGCTCACACCTGTAACCCCAGCACTTTGGGAGGCCAAGCTGGGTAGATTGCTTGAGCCCAGGAGTTTGAGACCAGGCCAGGACAACACAGTGAGACCCCATCTCTATCAAAAATGTAAAACAATTAGCCAGGTGTGGTGGCACACGCCTGTACTCCCAGCTACTTGGAGGCTGAGGTGGGAGGATCCCTTGAGCTCAGGAAGGTCAAGGCTGCAGTGAGCTATGATCATGTCGCTATACTCGAAGCCTGGGTGACAGAGTAAGACCCTATCTCAAAAAATATTTAAAAGTAGGCCGGGCACGGTGGCTCAAGCCTGTAATCCCAGCACTTTGGGAGGCCGAGGCGGGTGGATCATGAGGTCAAGAGATCGAGACCATCCTGGTCAACATGGTGAAACCCCGTCTCTACTAATGAGTGCAAAAAATTAGCTGAGCATGGTGGCGCATGTGCCTGTAATCCCAGCTACTCAGGAGGCTGAGGCAGGAGAATTGCCTTGAACCCAGGGAGGCGGAGGTTGCGGTGAGCCGAGATCGCGCCATTGCACTCCAGCCTGGGTAACAAGGGCGAAACTCTGTCTCAAAAAAAAAAAAAATGTAAAAGTAATAAAGATAAAGAATATATACATCTGGATACTCTCAGCTTTCTTGGTCTTCAGTGTTTAGATTCAAAGTAGATATTTGAGAATGAGAAAAAGATGTTGATTTTGTCAGGTGTGAGGGCTCAAGTCTGAAATCCAGCACTTCGGGAGGCCAGGGCAGTAGGATTGCTTGAAGCTAGGAGTTTGAGACCAGCCTGGACAACACAGCAAGGCCATTAAGGATCAGCCAGGCATGGTGGTGCATCCCTGTAGTTGTAGCAACTCGGAGACTGAGGCAGGAAGACCGCTTGAGCCCAGCAATTCAAGGCTACATGAGCTATGAAAAAATGTTGGTTTCCTCATGTGCATATCCACCCACGATTAGGACACACTACCAAGCAATTGTAATGCACCAAGTGTTTATTGAACGGCTCCCCTGTTCCTGGCACTAGGGGAAACAGCTCAGCAGAGCTCAGTTCCCACTTCCCAGGAACTTATAATTGTGGAGAGAACAAATAAATAGTCCAAAAACAAGAAGTAATTAAAGAAGAGAGCTACCTTTGTGATTCAATTCCCTTCCCTTTTCCTATGGTTACTTGGTTTATTCTCAGAGCAAGTCAATTTCTATTAGTTGACTTTCTCTGAGAATAAACCAAGTAACCAAACACTCCTAGGAAGTTAAGTCTGCAAAACAACGGCATCCATTCTACAGCAATGAAGACATCGGCTTTTGGATTACCTCCTCTTCCAAAGGATTTGTAGCATGAACTACTCTTCCCTTACCACCAGGTCCCTGAGGACCAGCTTTAAATAATCCTTCTCTGTAGCGTCATAATTGAATCCCAGCGCCATGGAGTCTATCTCCTTGACAGCCCGGGCCTTTGGGCTGGGGAGGGGGCGGGAAGGCCAGGTGGCTGCTGTGTCCCTTACGCCCAGCACCTTCAGGTCCTTCTCCACCCCTAGGCTGAAAGATCTATTCTACCGCTCCAGCAACCTGCAGTACTTCAAGCGGCTGATTCAGATCCCCCAGCTGCCCGAGGTAAGCGTGCCCGACCACAGACCCTGGGCACTGCAAAGGCCCCAAGTACCCTCTTAGAGGCTGGCAGGGCCTGGCAGGCGAGCACTGTTTGAGGATGTGTCTTCGTCTTCAGAACCCGCCCAACTTCCTGCGAGCCTCAGCCCTATCAGAACACATCAGCCCCGTGGTGGTGATCCCGGCGGAGGCCTCGTCCCCTGACAGCGAGCCAGTGCTGGAGAAGGATGACCTCATGGACATGGACGCCTCTCAGCAGGTGAGGACCGCTTGGGAGAGGAACTTGCCTCCAAGTACAGGGGAGAGGCTGGGAAAGACCCAGGCCAAAGCCCATTGACGCTCACCAGGTTCAGCCTTCTCTTCACCTAGGCAACCTTGGCTCAGCATCCTGCTCTGTGGCTCCCAGGAGGATCATAAACGGGTCTGGCTGGGTGCCATGGCTCACAGCTGTAATCCCAACACTTTGCTAGACTGAGGTGGGAACATTGCTTGAGGCCAGTTCAAGACCAGGCTGGGCAATATAGGAAGACCCCATCTTCACAAAAATAAATCAGCCAGACGTGGTGGCACATACCACCACGTGGCCCTGTGGTCCCAGCTATGCAAGAGGCTGAGATGGGGGGATCGTTTGAGCCTGGGAGGCCAAGGCTAACAGAGAGCTGTTATGCCACTGCACTCCAGCCTAGGCAAGAGAACATCAGCCAGGACTAGATAAATAAATAAATAAAATAAAAATTAAGCCGGGCGCAGTGGCTCACGCCTGTAATCCCAGCACCTTGGGAGGCCGAGGCGGGTGGATCACGAGGTCGAGAGATCGAGACCATCCTGGTCAACATGGTGAAACCCCGTCTCTACTAAAAATACAAAAAAATTAGCTGGGCATGGTGGCGCGTGCCTGTAATCCCAGCTACTCAGGAGGCTGAGGCAGGAGAACTGCCTGAACCCAGGTGGCGGAGGTTGCGGTGAGCCGAGATCGCGCCATTGCACTCCAGCTTGGGTAACAAGAGCGAAACTCCGTCTCAAAAAAAATAATAATAATAAAATAAAATAAAATAAATAAAAATAAATAAATAAATAAAAATTAAAAAATTAGCTAGGCATGGTGGCCTATACGTCTACCTCCAGCTACTCAGGAGTCTGAGCCAGGAGTTAGAGGCTGCAGTGAGCTATGATCACACCACTGCACCCCAGCCTGGGCAGTAGAGTGAGAACCTGTCTCAAAAAAATAAAAAATAGGCCAGGTGCGGTGGCTCACTCCTGTAATTCCCAGCACTTTGGGAGGCTGAGACGGGCAGATCACCTGAGGTTGGGAGTTCAAGAACAGCCTGACCAACATGGAGAAACCCTGTCTCTACTAAAAATACAAAATTAGCCGGGTGTGGTGGCGCATGCCTGTAATCCCAGCTACTCGGGAGGCTGAGGCAAGAGAGTCACTTGAACCTGGAAGGTGGAGGTTGCAGTGAGCTGAGACTGCACTCCAGCCTAGGCAATAAGAATGAAACTCTGTCTAAAAAAAATAAAATAAAGTAAAAATAAATAAACAAATCGATGAACCAAATTGAGAAAAGGGACATTCTCCCATGTCACTCAACTGACCCACACACAGAATTATCTGGCTCTCTGACTTATTCTCACTCCTTTTTGGTCAACCACAGAATTTATTCGACAACAAGTTTGACGACATCTTTGGCAGCTCATTCAGCAGTGATCCCTTCAATTTCAACAGTCAAAACGGCGTGAACAAGGATGAGAAGTGAGTCCAAGCCGGGTTAAAGCAGATGGTGCAGGAGCTAAGTTCAGCCATGGTCTGCCTCAAAACACTAACCGAAGAGGAGGGGCTACTCAGACAAAGAACATCTTGAAGGATCGGGTGCTGTGGCTCATGCCTGTAATCTCAACATTTTGGGAGGATGAGGCAGGAGGATTGCTTAAGGCCAGGAGTTCAAGACCAGCCTGGGCAACATAGCAAGATCCCACCTGTATTAAATAAAAGTAAAACAATTCGCTGGGCAGGTGGTAGACACCTGTAGTCCCAGCTACTCAAGAGGCTGAAGTGGGACGGTCACTTGAGCCTGGGATATCAAGGCTGCAGTGAGCTATGATCATGCCACTACACTTCAGCCTGGGCAACAAAGCCAGACTCTCTCTCAAACAAAACCACACACACACACAAAGTGTCTTAATCCTCAAATATCGGCCCCTTTAATCCCAGAAGAAAATCAATAACCATGGACTTACGACTATTAGATTAGTATCTGATTTAGGGTATAATTTATGAAGTTTCAAAGAATTGTCCCCAAATTAATACCAGCTTTTAATTTCCTCCCGTGAGCTCACAATTAAAAGGAGAGGGTTAGAAGCACTGTGGAAGCAATCTCATCCCCCTTCTCTTCCCAGGGACCACTTAATTGAGCGACTGTACAGAGAGATCAGCGGACTGAAGGCACAGCTAGAAAACATGAAGACTGAGGTACGCCTTGGGTCTGCTCGGCCTTTGTCCTTCACCAAAACACGGTAGATTTGAATGTTACATTTGCATCACACTGGCCAGGTGGCTCACGCCTGTAATCCCAGCACTTTGGGAGGCTAAGGCGGGAGGATACTTTGAGACCAACCTGGCCGACATAGGAAGACCCCATCTCTCCAAAAAAATTTTAATTAACTGAGGTTGGTGATGTGCACCTGTCATCCCAGCTACTCGGGAGGCTGAGGTGGGAGGATCGCTTGAGCCCAGGAGTTGGAGGCTGCAATGAGCCATGATCGCACCCCTGCACTCCAGCCTGGGCAACAAGGCAAGACCCGGTCTCCAAAAGAAAAAAATAAAGAAAGAAACTGCATGGGCCCGGCACGGTGGCTCACGCCTGTAATCCCAGCACTTTGGGAGGTCAAGGTAAGGTAGAAAGATTACCTGAGGTTGGGAGTTTGAGACCAGCCTGGGCAACATGGTGAAACCCTGTCTCCACTAAAAATACAAAAATTAGCCAGGTGTGCTGGGAGGCACCTGTAATCCCAGCTACTCGGGAAACTGAGGGCTGAGAATTGCTTGAACTTGGGAGGCAGAGGTTGCAGTGAACTGGGAACGTGCCACAGCGCTCCAGCCTGGGCAGCAGAGCACGACTGTCTCAAAATTTTTTTTAAAAATTACATCACATAATCGCACAGACACTTTTTGGCCCACATCCTCAGGACAGGTTAATTAATAGAAACAAGCCAGGTGTGGTGGTATGCGCCTATGATCCCAGCTACTCAGCAGGCTGAGGTGAGAGGATCACTCAAGGCCAGGAGTTTGAATCCAGCCTAAGCAACACAGTGAGACCCCCGTCTCTAAAACCAAACAAAAACTGGTAGAAATGCTAAATCCAAAAGAACCAGGTCTTCCTATGGCCCCTGTCGTGATGGATGTCCATGTTACATGCCTTGAGGGCAGTGTTTAGGCCAGGCACAGTATCGCTGTGATACCCAGAGATGACCCTGGGTCCCCACGTGGCTCAGAAGCTGTGGGAAACAAGACCAGACTTTCTCACATGACGATAAGGAGAGCTTGGTATGCCAGGTGCAGTGACTTACACCTGTAATACCAGCACTTTGGGAGGCCCAAGCAGGAGGACCACTTGAGCCCAGGAGATCAAGACTAGCCTGGGCAACATAGCAAGACCCCATCTCTACAAAAAACTTTTTTTTTTTTTTTTTTAGACAGAGTTTCGCTCTTGTTCCCCAGGCTAGAGTGCAATGCCGCCATCTCGGCTCACCGCAACCTCCGCCTCCCAGGTTCAAGCGATTCTCCTTCCTTAGCCTCCCAGTAGCTGGGATGACAGGCACGTGCCACCACACTCAGCTAATTTTGTGTTTTTGGTAGAGACAGGGTTTCTCCATGTTGGCCAGGCTGATCTTGATCTCCCGACCTCAGGTGATCCTCCTGCCTTGGCTTCCCAAAGTGCTGGGATCACAGGTGTGAGCCACCGTGCCCGGCCCTATTTAAAAAAAACTTTAAAAATTAGCTGGACGTAGCAGTGTGCATCTGTACTGCGGGCTTCTTGGGAGGCTAAAGCTAGGATCACCTCGCTGCACTCCAGTCTGTGATAGTGATCCCCTGTCTCCCCCAACCAAAAAAAGAAGACGATGGCTATGTGCAGTGTTGGTGCTGTATCAACAACTGCCCCTGAGAGTGGCTGGTCAGGTGACTTTACGCACAGGGACAGCCACCGCTACTCCTGGCCACTCTAAAGCGGACCACAACTGCCCAGCCATCATCCCCTGTTACTGCTGATCGAGGAGCTCCTAATGCCCAGACGGCCCAACCCTACTGAGACGTGGGGCGTTGACTTGGGGCACCGGGTATTTACGTGGCAGCGTGGTAGGACCCGTGACCCGTGCCGTGGGCGATCGGCCTCATGCCCCGAGTACCCCACAGAGCCAGCGGGTCGTGCTGCAGCTGAAGGGCCGCATCAGCGAGCTGGAGGCCGAGCTAGCCGAGCAGCAGCACCTGCGGCAGCAGGCGGCCGACGACTGCGAGTTCCTGCGGGCGGAACTGGACGAGCTCCGGAGGCAGCGGGAGGACACCGAGAAGGCTCAGCGGAGCTTGTCTGAGATAGAAAGTGAGTGGCGGGTGGGGACAGCGGCAGAGGTGGGGGCGGGCTCGGGGGGCAGGCGTGGGCAGCAGAGCCCAGCTGGACTCAGGATGAGGCACAGAGGCTGGGCAGGGGAGCTCCCCCACAGCTGTGTCCTTCTAGAAGCACTGTCAGGGATGCCAGCTCTTCGCCTCAGTCCAGAGGGCGAGTTTGAGTCCTGCAGGCACAGAGGCCCGTGTGAGGCACCGCTGAGCACATAGATGGGAAATACAGACAATGGCGCTGAGTGTTTGCCCTGGGCAGTGGATGCTAAGGCACAAGGAGAGAGGATTGAGGTCCTGACAAAGAAATTGACACAAAAGCTGAGAGCCGACCAGGCACAGTGCCTCATGCCTGTAATCCTAGCACTTTGGGAAGCCAAGATGGAAGGATTGCTTGACGCCAGGAGTTCAAGACCAACCTGGGCAACATAGCAAGACCCCATCTCTAGAGAAAATTAAAAAGATTCGCCGAATGTGGTGGCATGTGCCTGTAGTCTCAGCGACTCTTGAGGCTGAGACAGGAGTATCACTTGAGCCCAGGAATTCAAGGCGTTAGTAAGCTGATCACACCACTGCACTTCAGCCTCAGTAACGGAAAGCCTCATCTCTAAAAAAAAATTTTAATTTTTTTGAAAAGCTGAAAGCCCAGATAGAATAAATGCCGTGTATGTAAGTGCTGAAGAGGCATGAGGCCCTGGCTGATTATTTTTTTGTTTTCTTTTCTTTTTTTGAGGCAGAGTCTCACTCTGTCCCCCAGGCTGGGCTCACTGCAACGTCCACCTCCCGGGTTCAAGCAAATCTCCTGCCTCACTCTCCCGAGTAACTAAGACTACAGGCGCACACCACCATGCCCAGCTAATTTTCGTATCTTTAGTAGAGACAGGGTTTCACCATCTTGGCCAGGCTGGTCTCGAACTCCTAACCTCAGGTGATCCACCCACCTCAGCCTCCCAAAGTATGGGGATTGCAGGTGTGAGCCACCTCGCCTGCCCCCTGGCTTGATTTTTAACCAATGGAGTTCTTTTTAAAGATGACTTCCTAGAGAAGTTTCTGTAAGTAGGATTTCCAAGGGAGAAAAACATATACGCATTCCTGAAATCAAAGGAGGATCTTTGGCCAGGCACGGTGGCTCACGCCTATGATCCCACTGAGGCGGGTGGATCGCCTGAGCCCAGGAGTTTGAGACCAGCATGGGCAGCATAGTGAGACCCCATCTCTACAAAAATTAGCCAGGTGCAGTGGCACGTGCCCATGAGCCCAGCTACTCAGGAGATGGGGGTGGGAGGACGGCTTGAGCCCCAGGAGCAGTGACTGTGCCACTGTACTCCAGCCTGGGTGACAGCAAAACTGTCAAAACAAAACAAGGAGGATCTTCAAGGGACCCTGGCTCATTGCAAGGAGGGCAAGGGTCCCTGCTAGGGTAGACTCCTCACCTTGGTCCTTGACGATACAGGGAAAGCGCAGGCCAATGAACAGCGGTATAGCAAGCTAAAGGAGAAGTACAGCGAGCTGGTTCAGAACCACGCTGACCTGCTACGGAAGGTAGGACCCTCAGCCCCCATCACCATCCTGCAGGCCCTGCACCTCGGGGGAGAGAGCGGCTCGGACCTGCGGCTTCCCCGGGGCCGGCACCCCCTCCATTGATCTCGAAGGCATTGCCACCATCTCGGGAACCACACCTTTTCAGGCTGCCTTGCCTCTGTGTCTTGGGCTCTGTGCTGGCTGCCAGCCCTACTGTAGGTCACCCACCTCTCTTACTGTTTTGGAAATACATGAGTGGCAAGCATCTGAAGGTGATGGCTCTGTTCCCGCTTCCCTCCCAGGAGGAAAGTGATTCCTGTATCTGACTCTAGGGGGTGCACAGCCAGAGTGTGTCCTAGGAGGAGGATGTCCCCTAAGCCTCAGATCTCCTGGTTCAAGACACTGTTCTTTTGCAGAATGCAGAGGTGACCAAACAGGTGTCCATGGCCAGACAAGCCCAGGTAGATTTGGAACGAGAAAAAAAAGAGCTGGAGGATTCGTTGGAGCGCATTAGTGACCAGGGCCAGCGGAAGGTGAGTGGGCGAAGGAGCGCTCAGGAAATGAGGGAGGGTACTGTCCAGTTGGTGGCGGAGGCTTCGTGGTCTGCTGCTCCGTGGGCAGTTCTGTGGGGTGGTTGGCATCACACCGCAGGGAGCAAACCATGGCAGCCACATAGAACAGCAAGACACTGTCACCAGTGCATACACGAAATAATGGAAGGACCCAAAGTTACATGGGTTTAATCAGCAAAGGCTTTCCAAGGATGAGTCTCGAGGAGAGTTTGGGGAAAGGAAAACATATGGTTAGCAGAGAGACGGGGACGAGCATTATTTACAAATACTTGCAGACAGGCCAGGCACGGTGTTTCTGGAATCTCAGCGTGAGGGAAGATGGCTTGAGGCCAGGAGTTCCAGGCCAGCCTGGGTCACAAAGTGAGACCCTGTGTCTACAAAAAAACTAAGAAATTAGCTGGGCGTGGTAGTGCATGCCTGTAGCCTGAGCTACTTGGGAGGCTATGCAGGAAGATTGTGAGCCCAGGAGTTTGATACTGCAGTGAGCTGTGATCATGCCACTACACTCCAGCCTGAGTAACAGAGCAAGACAAAAAAAAATGTAAAAATCAGCCAGGTGTAGTGGCGTCTATGCCTGTGGTCCTAGCTACTTGGAAAGCTGAGGTGAGAAAAGTGCTTGATCCCAGTTTGAGATGGAGGCTTCAGTGAGCTATGATCGTCTTTCTGCACCCTAGCCTGGGTGACAGAATGAGACCCTGTCTCTATTTAAAAAAAATTTTAAAGGCCAGTGCAATGGCTCACACCTGTAATCCCAGCACTTTGGGAAGCAGAGGTGGGTGAATCACCTGAGGTCAGGAGTTTGAGACCAGCCTGACCAGCATGTTGAAACCCCTCTCTACTAAAACTATAGAAAAATCAGCCAGGCGTGGTGATGCGTGCCCATAATCCCAGCTACTTGGGAGACTGAGGCAGCAGAATTGCTTGAACCTGGGAGGCAGAGGTTGCAGTGAGCTGAGATTTCACCGCTACACTCCAGCCTGGGCAACAGAGCGAGACTCCATCTCAAAAAAAAAAAAAAAAAAAAAGGCAAGAGAATACCATTACGTTGGGGGAGAACTGATCAGCATATCAGAGGCTTAGAGGTACAGTTAGATGTGTCAGAGAGATCAAACCAAATGTCTTAGATTTAAAGGAGTAGCTTTCATACTTTTCTGTGACCACACATAAAAACATCTGTCCCGCAGAAATACAAGTTTCACCAAGCAATACTTATCCTTACTACGTGAATTCATTTGGATATTTCTGTTCTATTTAATCCATTTTTTAAATGATAGCTGTGAATTCCTACTAATGAGTCTCAACCCACTCTTTGAAACAAACACCATTAACAAAGAAATCAAAGAAAGAGTCATTTGGAGCTGGAGAGACGCTGTAGTTCAGCAGTATACCAGCTGTTGGGATGCCTGAATTTAAAATCCAGTTTGGTTTTGGTAGTATGGACTCAAGCATGACATTTGGGAAATATTTCTAAGGTTCCTTCCTGGAAGCCAGGTGCAGTGGCTCATGCTTGTAATCCCAGCATCTTGGGAGGCCAAGGCCGGAGGACTGTCTGAGGTCAGGAGTTCGAGACCAGCGTAGCCAACGTGGCGAAACCTCGTCTCTACTAAAAACGTAAAAATTAGCTACTCGGGAGGCTGAGGCAGGAGAATTGCCTGAACCCAAGAGGCGGAGGTTGCAGTGAGCCAAGATCGCGCCACTGCACTCCAGCCTGGGTGATCAGAGTGAGACTCTGTCTCAAAAATAAATAAATAAATAAATAAAATTATTTCCTCGACATTCCGCTTAGCCCGAAAAAAATGTTTCTAGTGCACTCTGGGGTCTCGCCTCCTCCTCCCACGCGCTGCATTTTTTGGGGGGTGTAACTGATGTACAGTAGAGTTTACAGATCTCTTGTGGATCTCTTTGTACATTTTTATATCCTTTGCTGCCACCACCCAGATCAGAGTCCCTCTGCTTTTCTTCTTTTTCAGACTCAAGAACAGCTGGAAGTTCTAGAGAGCTTGAAGCAAGAACTTGCCACAAGCCAGCGGGAGCTCCAGATTCTCCAAGGCAGCCTGGAAACGTCTGCCCAGGTAAATGCCTCCTTTCTCTCTCTCTCTCTCTCTTTTTTTTTTTTTTTTTTTCTGAGACAGGGTCTTCTTCCATCACCCAAACTGGAATGCAGTGGTGCAATTTCAGCTCACTGCAGCCGCCACCTCCCTGGGCTCAGTTGATCCTCCCACTTAGCCCCCAAAATATCCGGGACTATAGGCACCTACCACTACACCCGGCTTTCACTATGTTGACCCGCCTGGTCTCGAACTCCAGGGCTTAAGTGATCCTCCCACCTCGGCCTCCGAAAGTGCTGGGATTACAAATATGAGCCTCCACGGCTGGCCTCCTTTCTTGCCCCGCCCCTGGCTTTGGCATTGCTCTCATCCACCATCCTTGGCCTGGCCAAGTCGGCCCCAGCTGCAATCAGAGCATCCTCGGGAGGGAATCAGAGTGGCAGGTTCCAGGGCCATCACCTCCCAGTCCGTGTAGCCAGGTGGTGGGTTGGAACTCTGGGAAGTGGGGACTGATTAACCCAACCAGCATCTCCCTCTTTCCCTTGCGGTCACCTTTGCAGTCAGAAGCAACCTGGGCAGCCCAGATCACCGAGCTAGAGAACGAGCGGGACAGCCTGGTGAGTGGCGCAGCCCACAGGGAGGAGGAATTATCTGCTCTTCGGAAAGAACTGCAGGACACCCAGCTCAAACTGGCCAGCACAGAGGCAAGTAACGGACGCGGAAGCACCTGTGAACTCCCACCACGGGCCCCGCACGTGCACGGAGGCCAGGAAGACTCCGGGGCTGCTGCGAAGGGTGGGGGTGCACCTTGGCCTGATTGTGAAGACAGTCTGTAGGTCTAATGCCAGCCCCTCATGCCAGCAGGCCCTGCACTGCCTGCAGAGACCATGAGGGAAAGGGAAAGCAGAGTGCTCTCGTTTTTGTATGCCAAGGGAACTTTGGCATTCCCTTCCAGGCATGAGAAGGGGATGCAGTAATCCATCCCCCCAGCCTCCGTGGGCAGCAGCATACCCTGTGTACAGAGTTAAAGCAACTTTCTCTGTCTCAGGCTAACTGGCTTGGACCTCACGGGCCATGACTTGAGCTGAGATGCTAGGAGCTCTGTCGGGTCCGACCTGCAGACCCTGACCCAGCGAAGGATGAACGAATGCACTCAGACACACATAGCCAGTGAAAGAGCAGGCTAGGGGACCAGGCCATTTAGAGACACGGAGGAGGATACTGTACAGAGCCAGCAGCCACGGCCCCCACCAGCCAGACCCGTGGGACCTTTGTTTAGTACAGATGTAATGACAAAGGCCTAAAGCAAACACCATTTGTGGGTAATTAACTTTGCTGACCCCCCAAGTAGAGAGCAGTCATCTACCCGTGGATATTCAAAGGTCGGTCTCAGGACCACATGAGTAAACAAGCTCTTTAGATAAACTCCCCTACATTCCTTTGTATCTTCTCTATAGCTTTTTGCTCCAGGAAAGGGGATTAGGCTGCCTTCAGCCATAGCTTCCTTCCCAAGGCTTTTGCAAAAACCTCCCGGCCTTCCAAGATTTACATCCTTTTCCTACAATTTCTCCCACCACCCTGACTGAACTCCTGCAGAGCTCCAACCAGGTCAAGCTGCCCAGGTTCATTATGGAGTCGGGCAGAGGCTCACCTCCCTGGACCCTTTTTAGGAATCTATGTGCCAGCTTGTGAAAGACCAACGAAAAATGCTTCTGGTGGGGTCCAGGAAGGCTGCGGAGCAGGTGATACAAGACGCCCTGAACCAGCTTGAAGAACCCCCTCTCATCAGCTGTGCTGGGTCTGCAGGTATACTCGCAATTGCTCAGCTGGCAGGGGCCAGGTCCTTACAGACTGAGACTCTGTTGATGTACAGTCTCACGTGAGACTGAGCACAGGGGCACTCAGCTCAGTGGCATGTCAGCATTACCTTAGGGGTGCCCAGGCCCCATCCTACATCAGTTAAATTTGGAAACTCTGTGCATTAGGGCCTGTACACTAGTATTTTCTTTCTTTTTTTTTTTTTTTTTTTTTTTTCTTTTTGAAATAGGGTCTTAGTCTGTTGCCTAGGCTGGAGTGCAGTGCAATGGCTCACTGCAGCCTCTGCTTCCTGGGCTCAAGAAATCCTGAAGACCTGGGCTCAGGCAGTCCACCCACCTTGACCTCCCAAAGTACTGGGATTACAGCCATGAGCCACCATGCCTGGCCTTGGCTAATTTTTTAATCTTTGGTAGAGACGAAGTCTCACTATATGCCCAGGCTGGTCTCGAACTTCTGAACTCCCACCCTGGCCTCCCAAAGTGCTGGAATTACAAGCATGAGCCACCTCACTAGGCCTAGCAGTAGTATTTTCTAAAGGTCCCAGGTGTGATAGCCACCGCTTTAGACAGTGGGTCACACTGACAAGAAAATCCACCAGGAGCGGACACTTCTGTGTTTCTGTATGGAAAAAACAATGTTCTGAATCAAGAGGTAGTTGCTCGTGAACTTCACTTCTAGGCAGGAAGCTTCCCCACTAGGTAAGCTCCTCTGTTCGGCACTTAATTGACGAGGATGAAGCCAGCTGTGAGAACTTGCCCTGACCTTACCCTGTGTTCCCTCTCACAGATCACCTCCTCTCTGCGGTCATGTCCGTTTCCAGCTGCATCGAGCAACTGGAGAAAAGCTGGAGCCAGTATCTGGCCTGCCCAGAAGGTAAGAAGGGCCAAGGAGAGTCTCTGTCATTAGTGGCGGTGGGACAGGGTTCAGAAGCACCTGAATGCAGGAAGAGTGACAGTTTCCCCTGCATCAGGAAAGGCGTGTAGGCAGCTCATTAAACAGGGGAGAAGAGGGTCTGAAAGTGACATCATCAACCAGAACTGAGAAACTTCCTTTTCCTGGCAGACATCAGTGGACTTCTCCATTCCATAACCCTGCTGGCCCACTTGAGCAGCGACGCCATCACTCACGGTGCCACCACCAGCCTCAGAGCCCCACCTGAGCCTGCTGACTGTGAGTACCAGGGTGTGAGGGGCTGCTCATGTACCAGAGGAGCAGGGGTTCTTTAAGTCTCCGTTGGCCTGGGCGAGGTGGCTCACGCCTGTAACCCCAGCACTTTGGGAGGCTGAAGCAGGGAGATCATCTGAGGTTGGGAGTTCGAGAACAGCCTGAACAACATGGAGAAACCCTGTCTCTACTAAAAATACAAAAATTAGCTGGGCATGTTGGCGCATGCCTGTAATCCCATCTACTCGGGAGGCTGAGGCAGGAGAATCACTTGAACCCTGGAGGTGGAGGTTGCAGTGAGCCGAGATCCTGCTATTGTACTACAGCCTGGACAACAAAAGTGAAACACTTAAAAAAAAAAAAAGTCTCTGTTGGGCCGAGCATGGTAGCTCATGCCTGTAACCCAGCACTTTGGGAGGCCGAGGTGGGCAGATCACTTGAGATCAGGAGTTCAAGAACAACCTGGCCAACATGGTGAAACCCCGTCTCTACTAAAAATATAAAAATTAGCCGGGCATGGTAGTGCACCTGTAATCCCAGCTACTCAGGAGGCTGAGACAAGAGTATCACTTGAACCCAGGAGGCGGAGTTTGCAGTGAGCCACGATCGAGCCACTGCACTCCAGCCTGGGCGACCGCAAGGCTCCATCTCAGAAAAAAAAAAAAAAGTGTCTGTCGCCTTGCATCCTTAGCACTGACCGAGGCCTGTAAGCAGTACGGCAGGGAAACCCTCACCTACCTGGCCTCCCTGGAAGAAGAGGGAACCCTCGAGAATGCTGACGGCACAGCCATGAGGAACTGCCTGAGCAAGATCAAGGCCATCGGCGAGGTACTTGCAGTAGCATCATTGAGGCGCATTGTTAATCTTCTGGGTGTGCATTCTGGTGAATAGCCAGGGAATTGACGATGTTCTGAGCCCGTTCCTTCCGTACTTACAACTTGATTCCACAAAGAGATTGTTAAAATCGGAACATCTGGCCAGGTGCAGTGACTTACGCCTGTAATCTCAGCATTTTGGGAGGCCGAGTCAAGAGGATCACTTGAGGTCAGGAGTTGGAGACCAGGCTGGCCAACAGAGTGAAACTCTGTCTATACTAAAAATACAAAAATTAGCCCAGCATGGTGGTGCCTGCCTGTAATCCCAGGTACTCGGGAGGCCGAGGCAGGAGAATCACTTGAACCCAGGAGGCGGAGGTTGCAGTGAGCCAAGATCCTGCCATTGCACTCCAGCCTGGGCAACAGAGCAAGAGCCATCTAAAAAAAAAAATAAGATCGCTTGAACCCAGAAGTTTGAGACAGGCCTGGGCAGCAAAATGAGACCCTGCCTCTTTAAAAATAAAAATTAAAAACTTTTCAAGCCGGGCGCGGTGGCTCAAGCCTGTAATACTAGCACTTTGGGAGGCCGAGGCGGGTGGATCACGAGGAAGAGATCGAGACCATCCTGGTCAACACAGTGAAACCCCGTCTCTACTAAAAATACAAAAAATTAGTTGGGCATGGTGGCACGTGCCTGTAATCCCAGCTACTCAGGAGGCTGAGGCAGGAGAATTGCCTGAACCCGGGAGGCGGAGGTTGCGGTGAGCCAAGATCGCGCCATTGCACTCCAGCCTGGGTAACAAGAGCGAAACTCCATCTCAAAAAAAAAAAAACTTTTCAAAAGGGCTGGCTGCGGTGGCTACCGCCTGTAATCCCAGCACTTTGGGAGGTCGAGGTGGGCAGATCACTAGGTCAGGAGTTTGAGACAAGCATGACCAACATGGTGAAACCCCGTCTCTACTAAAAATACAAAAATTAGCCGGGCATGGTGGCGTGTGCCTGTAATCCCAGCTACTCGGGACACTGAGGCAGGAGAATCGCTTGAACCAGGAAGGCAGAGGCTGCAGTGAGCTGAGATCATGCTATTGCGCTCCAGCCTGGGTGACAGCAAGACTCCATCTCAAAAAAAAAGTAAATTAAATATTTTTTTAAAAAAGGGAAAACCTATCCTCCTGAAGGACTTTCCAGCTACATATAATTCACTGGCTGTTAGCTGAGAATCTGCTGTTGTCATCACTGCACTCGGCAATATCAAAGAAATATAGGCAGCTCCCCGTCTCCCAGGGTTTTTATCTAGATGGGCAAGTAATACCCAAAATGGAAATAACAGTGTGCTTATTCATTTACTAAAGATGTAGTGACCAAGCATGGTGGCTCACACCTGTAATCCCTGCACTTTGGGAGGGCAAGGCAGGAGAATCACTTGAGGGCAGGAATTCAAGATCAGCCTAGTCAGCATAGTGAGACCCTGTCTCTACAAAAAACAAACAAACAAACAAACAAACAAACAAATTAAAAATTAGACAGGCATGATATCAGGCACCTGTAGTCCCAGGTACTCAGGAGGCCGAGGTAGGGGGATCACTTGAGCCCAGGAGTTGAAGGCCGCAGTGAGCTATGATTGTACCACTGCACTCTAGCCTGGGCAACAGAGCAAGACCCTACCTCTGCTATAAATAAGTAAGCAGTGAGTATGTCCTGTATAGCAGAAATTGGGTTAGGTAGATGTTATATAGGGACAGAGAAAACATGGACTCTATGGGAAAGAAAAATCAGAAAACCATTTCTTGGCAGTAGAATTTTTTTCCCATTTTCCCCCCAGTGTTATAAATTGGAATATATTGGTTAAAATAAGAGGATAGGGCTGGGCATGGTGGCTCACACCTGTAATCCCAGCACTTTGGGAGACCAAGGTGGGTGGATCACTTGAGGTCAGGAGTTCGAGACCAGCCTGGCAAACATGGCAAAACCCCATCACTACTAAAAATTTAAAAAGTTAGCCAGGTGTGATGGTGAGCACTTGTGGTCCCAGCTACTCAGGAGGCTGAGGCAGGAGGATCACCTAAGCCTAGGAGCTCAAGACTGCTGTGAAACGTGATCACACCACTGTACTTCAGGTGACAGAGTAAGACCCTGTCTCTAAAAAGAAAATGAACAACAAAGATCAGGGCTGGGCATGGTGGCTCATGCCCGTAATCCCAGCACTTTGGGAGGCTGTGGCAGGCAGATCAGTTGAGGCCAGGAATTTGAGACCAGCCTAGCCAATTTAGTGAAATCCCATCTCTATTAAAAATATAAAATTAGCCGGGTGTGGTGGCTAATTTTGTAATCCCAGCACACCTGTAATCCCAGCTACTTGGGAGGCGGAGGCAGGATAATCCCTTGAGCCGGGGAGGCGGAGGCTGGAGTGAGCTGAGATTACGTTACACTCCAGCCTGGGTAACAGAGTGAGACTCTCTCAAAAAAAAAAAAAAAAAAAAGATTATCTTCCTTTGTGCCTCCCTAAATAAGAGAGTTAGTTTCACATGTTATAGACTGTAGGTAAATGGATACTGTATATATTCTCCTACAACTTGCTTTTTTCACTCCATATTCTGTGAGATTAACCCAAGAAGATACATTCATTTTTACTGCTCTCTAGTATCTATTGTGTAAATATAGCTTCATTCATCTGTCTGTTCTCTTGGTGATGGACATTTGGGTTATTTTTGGCTCAGGCCGTTATGAATTTGCCCCTGTAATCATACATGCATATATCTCCTGATGCTCAAATTGTAAGTTTCTCTAGAGTATATACGTAGAAACAGAATTACTAGGTTTTAGGATGAATCTCACACATGGAATGTTGAGTGAAAAATTAAGTCGTGGAAAAATACATCCAATATGATTCCTTTTATATAGACTCAAACATTCAAACTTAACAATATATTTTTTAGGGCTACATCTATATGGAGTTAAAAAGTAATAACAGTAAGACAGGCCGGGTGTAGTGGCACATGTCTGTAATCCCAGCACTTTGGGAGGCCGGAACAGGAGGATCACTTGAGGCCAGGAATTTGATATCACCTGCACTACAAAGCAAGACCCTGTCTCTACAAAAAAAGTTTAAAAGTTAGCAGAGTGGTGCACGCCTGTTTTGCCAGCTACTCAGGAGGCTGAGACAGGAGGATCACTTGAGCCCAGGAGTTGGAGGCTGCAGTGAGCTGTGATCGCACCACTGCACTCTAACCTGGGCAACAGAGCAAGAGTTTGTCTTTTAAAAATAAAAATAAGGCCCAGCGTGGTGGCTCACGCCCGTAATCCCAGCACTTTGGGAGGCCGAGGCGGGTGGATCACGAGGTCAAGAGATCAAGACCATCCTGGCCAACATGGTGAAACCCCGTCTCTACTAAAAATACAAAACTTAGCTTGGCCTGTTGGTGCATGCCTGTCATCCCAGCTCCTCAGGAAGCTAAGGCAGGAGAATCGCTTGAACCTGGGAGGCAGAGGTTGCCGTGATCTGAGATCGGGCCACTGCACTCCAGCCTGGGTGACAGAGTGAGACTCCATGTCTCAAAAATTAATAAATAAGACATGACAATCACTCTCTTGAATTCTGCGTCTCTTGGGGTAGAAGGCAGGGAGGAAGGAGGTAGAATCAGGGCACATACAAGTCCAAAGAGGATTTCAAAGGTGTTGATAATGTTTCTCACAGTATTCCTTGAGTTTTAAGTTGGGCGGTTGATAACATGGGTCTTTATTCTTACCCTTTGAACCATACGTATCTATTTCATACCTTTGTATGTATAACTACATCATGTTTTAAAAAGTCATGGCCTTTGCTATTAGTCAGAGCTTAGTTCAAATCCATGCCCTGCCGTTTATTAGCATGACTGTGATAAAGCGGTTCTGCCTCTGACCCTTGGCTCCCTATCTATACGGTAGGAATAATAACTGCCTCATATGATTGCTATGGAAGCAAAGTTAAGTCAGGTTCAAAGTGGAATATATCATCAGCATTTGAAAAAGTTGAGGCTAAGGGCAGTAACTCAATCCCAGCACACTGGGAGACCAAGACGGGTGGATCACTTGAGCCCAGGAATTGGCGACCAGCCTCGGCAACACAGTGAGACTCCACCTCTCCTATAAAAAGCAATTGGCCAGGCATGATAGTGCACTCCTGTACTCCCTGCTGCTCTGCAGACAGAGGTGGGAGGATTGCATGAGCACAGGAGATCGAGGCTGCAGTGAGCTGTGATCATGCCACTGCACTCCATCTCTGGAGAGCAAGACCCTGTCTCAGAATAGTAAAAAATTAGGGCCAGGTGCATGGTGGCTTACACCTGTAGTCCCAGCACTTTGGGAGGCTGAGGCAGGAGGATTACCTGAGGTTAGGAGTTCGAGACGAGCCTGGGCAACATGGTGAACCTGTCTCTACTAAAAATATAAAAATTAGCCGGGCATGGTGGTACATGTCTACAATCCCAGCTACTCAGGAGGCTGAGGCAGGAGAATCGCTTGAACTCGGGAGGTGGAGGTTGCAGTGAGCCGCGATTGTGCCACTGCACTCCAATGTGGGCGACAGAGTGAGAATCTGCCTCCAAAAGAAAAAATTGTGACGATACCTCCTGTGTAGCTAATACAATTGACACTGCACAACTAAGGGACTGGAGTCTTAGTGGTGGCGGCATGGCCTTGCAGGAAGAGGCAGCGATGGCATTCTGGAAGGAGGTGGGTCCTGAGTGAGGGGGAGCACGAGGTTCCAGAGTTCATGTCACAGAGAGGACCAGATGGGGTCTGTGAAAGAACCCCCCGAAACCCCTGACGCTTGCAGAAGGTGTTCGCTGGGTGGCCTCCTGCTTCCTGCCAACTTGTAAGGGCTGCAGATGGCAGAGGAGAAGAGAGAGGAGGCCTCGGGGGGTCAGTTCTGCCTTTGTGATGTGTTCACAGGAACTCCTGCCCAGGGGCCTGGACATCAAGCAGGAAGGAGCTGGGGGACCTGGTGGACAAGGAGATGGCGGCCACTTCCGCTGCTATTGAAAGCGCCACAGCCAGAATAGAGGTAGGAGGTGTGCCGCACTGCTCGTTAGACATGCCGCAGTCGTTCATTGTGGCCACGGTGACCCCCGAAGACAGAAACCAGAATTTGCCAGGCACAGTGGCTCATGCCTGGAATCCCAGCACGTTGGGAAGATCACTTGAGTCCGGGAGTCTGAGACCAGCCTGGACATCACACATCATAGCAAGACCCCATCTCTATAAAAAGTAGAACAATTAGCCGGACGTGGTGGTGCATACTTAAGAGTCCCAGCTACTCCAGAGGCTGCAGGAGAATCGCTGGAGCCCAGGAGTTGGAGGGCTCCAGCGAGCCATGATTGCACCACCGCACTCTGGCCTGTGTGAAAGACTGAGACCCTGTCTCTAAAAATGTTTCTAAATTGTTAAAAAAAAAAAAAAAAAAAAAGAGAGAGAGAGAGAGAGAGAGAGAGAGAGAGAGAGACCAAAATCTGAACTCACTCGTTTTTCTGAGTGATAGAAAATGAGAAGGTCCTCATGAGGGAAGGTGATCCGTTTCCTCAAGAATCAGATACTTTGGTGTCAGAACATCCTGGGTTCTGGCTGGGCATAGTGCCTCATGCCTGTAATCCCAGCACTTTGGGAGGCTGAGCCAGGCAGATCGCAAGGTCAGGAGTTCAAGACCAGCCTGACCAACATGGTGAAACCTGGTCTCTACTAAAAATACAAAAATTAGGGCATGGTGGCACATACCTGTAATCCCACCTACTTGGGAGGCTGAGGCAGGATAATTGCTTGAACCCGGGAGGCAGAGGTCGTAGTGAATGAAGATCGCACAACTGCTCTCCAGCCTGGGCGACAGAGCAAGACTCCTTTTCAGGAAAAAAAAAATTTTAGAACATCCTGGGTTCAAGTTGCAGACTGACCACTTAGTTGTATAACCTCCGTTAATTACAGTCACCTACTAAGATTCAGATCCCATTTCTATAGGGTGGTAGTCAGAAGAAGAAAGAGTGGGGCCGGGCGAGGTGGCTCACACCTGTAATCCCAGCACTTTGGAAGGCTGAGGCAAGTGGATCACGAGGTCAGGAGTTTGAGACCAGCCTGGCCAACATGGTGATACCCCGTCTCTACTAAAAATACAAAAATTAGCCAGGCATGGTGGTGGACACCTGTAATCTCAGCTATTTGGGAAGATGAAGCAGGAGACTCACTTGAACCCGGGAGAAGGTTGCAGTGAGCCAAGATCGTGCCACTGCACTCCAGCCTGGGTGACAGAGCAAGATTCTATCTTAAAAAAAAACAAAAACAAAAACAAAACAGTGAAATGAGATAATGCACATTTATCTCCATGCCAAGCACTTAGGAAATTAATGGCACCCCTAATCAATGGTAATGATTCCCCAGAAAAACGGAGAGGACACTGTAGGGACGATTCTACGTTGACCCTTTGATGGAGGACTCAAGCCCCCTGCTGTGATGTGCACACCTGCCTCTAGCACCTGGTAGCAGCTGCTTGGTGCTGTGGCTCTCAGAGTTCAGCATGTATCAGCCTGAGTGCCAGAGTGTAGAGACACTCACAGATCACCTGGGTGCCGTGGCTCACACCGGTAATCCCAGCACTTAGGGAGGCCAAGGCAGAAGGATTGCTTGAGGCCAGGAGTTCAAAGCCAGCCTGGGCAACGTAGTGAGACTCTGTCTCTTTAAAAAAAAATGTTAAGGCTAAGGCAGCAGGATTGCTTGAGGCCACGAGTTCAAGACTAGCCTAGGCAACATAGTGAGATCCCCCCACCCCCATGTCTACAAAAAATAAAGAGGCTGGGCAGGGTGGCTCATACCTGTAAGCCCAGCACTTTGGGAGGCCAAGTTGGGTGGATCATCTGAGACCGGGAGTTCGAGATCAGCGTGACCAATATGGCAAACCCTGTCTCTACTAAAAATACAGTAATGAGCCAGGCATAGTGGTACGTGCCTAGAGTCTCAGCTACTCAGAAGGCTGAGGCAGGATAATCACTTGAACCCAGGAGGCAGAGGTTGCAGTGAGCTGAGATTGCACCACTGTACTCCAGCCTGGGCTACAGAACAGGACTCCATCTCAAAACAAAACAAAACAAAACAAAACAAATTTTTTTTTTAATTAGCCAGGTTCAGCAGAACACAGCTGTAGTCCCCACTACTCAAGAGGCTGAGGCAGGACAATCCCTTGAGCACCAAGTATTTGAGGCTGCAGTGAGACCCTGTGTTGTTGGTTGTTTTTTTTGTTTTTTTTTTTGTTTTAAAAAAAAAAGGCCAGGGGTGGTGGCTCACACCTGTAATCCCAACAGTTTGGGAGGCCAAGGTAGGTGGATCACTTGGGGTCAGGAGTTCGAGACCATCCTGGCCAACATGGAGAAACCCTGTCTTTATTAAAAATATAAAAATTAGCTGGGCATGGTGGCGGGCACCTGTCATCCCAGCTACTTGAGAAGATGAGGCAGGAGAATCACTTGAAACTGGGAGGCAGAGGTTGCAGTGAGCCAAGATCACGCCACTGCACTCCAGCCTGGGCAACAGAGTGAGATTCCGTCTCAAAAAAAAAAAAAAAAAAGACACCGATCATAGAGCCAGCCTGTTGCAGCTGTACTCCCCCTGAACAGAGTAGAGTCTGGATTGTTTCTCTGACTCTCTCCAGGATGTGGGCAAGGACTGGGGACTTCCAGATTCAGGTTTCTCAGCCCCCACAGGATGTTGGACTGTAAGTATAGTAAGACATTAGTGGATTCTCAATATCCAAGGTACATTTAGAAACCATGCTTCTTTTTAACAGGAGATGCTCAGCAAATCCCGAGCAGGAGACACGGGAGTCAAATTGGAGGTGAACGAAAGGTCAGTCTGCACGGCATGGTGGCACCCGGGGGAGCAGGATTCTGTCTTCCTGGCATTGGGCTGCACTTTGCGTACTTATTAGGGAATTAGCGGAGAGCAATTGATGTAATCATCAATGATATGTTAATGATGACAGCATATTGCTGTTTCATTGTAGAAGAAAAGAAACCCGGGCTGGCACAGTGGCTCACACCTGTAATAACAGCACTTCGGGAGGCTGAGGAGGGAGGATCACCTGAGGTCGGGAGTTTGAGACCAGCCTGACCAATGGGGTGAAACCCCGTCTTTACTAAAAATATAAAAACTAGCCCAGCATGGTGCTGCACGCCTGTAATCCCAGCTACTCGGGAGGCTGAGGCAGGAGAATCGCTTGAACCTGGGAGGCGGAGGTTACAGTGAGCCAAGATAGCACCACTGCACTCCAGCCTCGGTGACAGAGCAAGACCGTCTCAAAAAAAATGAAAAGAAAAGAAGCCTTGGAAAAACACTATTCCCTACGACGGAGACCCACAATCAGAACTCTCACTCCCCGACCTCTCCTTCAGGGCCTCCCCCGAGAATGTTCCAGCAATCTCAGCACCGTCCTTACCTCCCTTTCCCATTCCAAGCTCACCTTTGGCTACAGGTCGAAAAGAGAACAGTTATGTTCATTCACCTTGAATCGTGGTCTCTGTGTATTCCTGACTTTGTTTGTTTGTTTGACAGGATTCTTGGTAGCTGTACAGGCCTCATGCAAGCTATTCAGGTGCTGATCGTGGCCTCTAAGGACCTCCAAAGAGAGATTGTGGAGAGCGGCAGGGTGAGCGTGGGTGTGGGCGCTGGGCGGGAAAAGCAGGCATCAGTGACAGATTCCCAGTTCACTGGACTCTAGTGATGCTGCTGTCTTGTTCTGTGTGTCCACCCGAGCACACAGCCGCCCCTCCTGTAGACATCAGCAGATGCCCCGGGGAGAAGTCAGAGCCAGAGGGCAGCCAGGCGTGTCTCCCAACCCCAGCTCCCTTTGCACAGGTAGACACTGTTGCAACTTGCTGTGGGAGCCCCATTTACATGGCAAACCTGGGTACTCTCAGACAGGAGGACTTTTGCAAACTAAGCAGATCCTGAGAGCCAACTTCAGACTGACTTTTCCCAGGGAGTTCTGCCTTGTCTGCCTCCACCAGCAGGGTCAGTTCCCCCTTACAGGCAGACTCTGCGGTCAGCCTCTTATCAACACACCACTTCGTGGCCTCATGCCTTTGCTGGCGTTCTCAGCATCTTGTTTTTCCTTCCCGTTTCCCCGTATGCTGCCGCAGCTTGGGAGGCACAGGTCCAGGGAGGGGTTCACCAGCCGGAGAGCAGTGCCAGAGAGCAAGGGGCCAGGCCTGCTTTGCTGGTGCCTTCTACCTTCCTGAGAGCTGATGTTCTCTGTTTCTAAAATCGAAAGATGGACTGAACAAGGATTCTCTGCAGATTCTCAGACTATCAGACACTTCCAAAGCATAAAAACATTTTTCAAATCCAAGTAAAAGTATTTTTTTTTAATGTATTAACTGTGTAGTCTCCTTTTTTCAGCAAATCGCAGAGAGTGGCTAGACTTTTCAGAGCATGACTTATTCATCTGCGAATATATATTCTTACATATGCAATACAGAAATGTTGTGGTATAGTAGAAACGCTACAGGTTTGGAGGCAGAAAAGCCCAAGATTTACTTCTGTTTGTTTCCTACATGACCTTGGGAAAAGCCTTTTTGTTTATTTGTTTGTTGTTTTGTTGTTTGGGGTTTTGGGGTTTTTTTTTTGTTTGGTTGGTTGGTTGAGTTTTTTTTTTTTGTTTTGTTTTGTTTTTTGAGATGGAGTCTCGCTCTGTTACCCAGGCTAGAGTGCAGTGCTCGGCTCACTGCAACCTCTGCCTCCTGGGTTCAAGCAATTCTCCTGCCTCAGCCTCCTGAGTAGCTGGGATTACAGGCGCCCACCACCACACCCAGCTAATTTTTATATTTTTTTGAGATGGAGTCTTGCTCTGTTGTACAGACTGGAGTGCGGTGGTGCGATCTTGGCTCACTGCAACCTGTGGCTCCTGGGTTCAGCAATTCTCCTGCCTCAGCCTCCCAAGTAGCTGGGACTACAGGTGCCCACCACCACACCCAGCTGATTTTTGTACTTTTAGTAGAGACGGGTTTCACCATGTTGGCCAGGATCGTCTTAAACTCCCGGCCTCAAGTGATCTGCCTGCCTCAGGCTCCCAAAGTGCTGGGATTACAGGCGTGAGCCACTGCACCCAGCCGGAAAAGCCATTTGTGTCTCATCTCTGAATCTTTTTCTTTATTGTAAAATGGGAATGCTAATGCTTACATCTCCCAGTTACTATGAGGTTGATTTGGGATAATAGATATATATAAGCACTTGCCATATAGTACGTGCTCAATAAAAGGTGGCTATTACTATTTTTTACTTCCCTAGGGTACAGCATCCCCTAAAGAGTTTTATGCCAAGAACTCTCGGTGGACAGAAGGACTCATCTCAGCCTCCAAGGCTGTGGGCTGGGGAGCCACTGTCATGGTGTAAGTGCCCATTGGTGCCAAGGCTCCTTCCCCAACCCCTCTTCCATTGATCCACTCCAAACAATAGCTTAAAAAGGAAAAAAATAATATGTCCCTTAGAAATGAACTGTTGATCAGAAAGTCAATAGGACTGAGTTTACATGGGAGCATGGCTCTCCCAGGGGAACACAGGGCAGGCAGCTTCCCCTCCCTATTTAGCCAAGGGCAATGGGGTGGTCTGGAGGTGGGATCGTAGGGAAGTTACAGCTCATCTGCCTGTAACCTAGTCCCTCTTGTCTTTTTCTATCAGGGATGCAGCTGATCTGGTGGTACAAGGCAGAGGGAAATTTGAGGAGCTAATGGTGTGTTCGCATGAAATTGCTGCTAGCACAGCCCAGCTTGTGGCTGCATCCAAGGTAGGACCTGTGCCAGACCTCCTAGGACCCTGGACGCCATGGTTAGAGAGTACTAGGCTAGGCTAAAGAGTACTTGGCTGGGTTAGGCAGTCCTTGGCTGAGTTAGGAGCACTTGGCTAGGTGAGACAGTACATAGCTAGGTTCGAGAGTACTAAAGGTTAGAGAGTACTTGGCTAGGTTAGATAGTACTAAGGGTTAGAGAGTACTCGGCTAGGTTAGACAGTACTTGGCTAGGTTAGAGAGTACTAAGGGTTAGAGAGTACTTGGCTAGGTTAGATAGTACTTGGCTAGGTTAGAGAGTACTAAGGGTTAGAGAGTACTTGGCTAGGTTAGATAGTACTTGGCTAGGTTCGAGAGTACTTAGGAGTTGGAGAGTACTTGGCTAGGTAGACAGTACTTGGCTAGGTTAGACAGTACTTGGGTGATGGGATGGAACTGGCCCTGAGAACAGATGATTAATCCATGGCTCAGGTGGCTCCAATCCCAAATAAAAATTCAGCCTCTTAAGGGTCCCGCACCATCCTCTTCTTTTTTTTTTTTTTTTTTTGAGACGGAGTTTCGCTCTTGTTACCCAGGCTGGAGTGCAATGGCTCGATCTCCGCTCACCGCAACCTCCGCCTCCTGGGCTCAGGCAATTAGGCAATTCTCCTGCCTCAGCCTCCTGAGTAGCTGGGATTACAGGCACGTGCCACCATGCCCAGCTAATTTTTTGCACTTTTAGTAGAGACGGGGTTTCACCATGTTGACCAGGATGGTCTCGATCTCTCGACCTCGTGATCCACCCGCCTCGGCCTCCCAAAGTGCTGGGATTACAGGCTTGAGCCACCGCGCCCGGCTGCACCATCCTCTTCTAAAAGCCTTTCTTGTGACAGCAAGGAATGCCTGTACCCAGTGCACCACACATGTCCCTCATGGCTTTCCTCACATCTGTCACAAGTGGCCTTAGAGAGTCCCAGCAATGCCAACTTCTGATTAGCAGTCCTGGAATTCAAGAAACATTCGAATACGGAATAGGTTGGCCTCATAAACAGGTTACCTGGATTGGCTCTGAGATTCCACAGCCCCTTCTTATTAGTCTTCAAATTTGAATCAGGCCAGGCGCAGTGGCTCATGGCTGTAATCCCAGCACTTTGGGAGGCCAAGGCCAGTAGATCACCTGAGGTCAGGAGTTCAAGACCAGCCTGGCCAACCTGTTGAAACCTCATCTCTACTAAAAATACAAAAAATTAGCCAGATATGGTGGTGGGCACCTGTAATCCCAGCTACTGGGGAGGCTGAGACAGGAGAATCGCTTGGACCTGGGAGGCAGAGTTTGCAGTGAGCCGAGATCACGCCATTGCACTCCAGCCTGGGTGACAAGAGTGAAACTCTTTCTGAAAAACAAAAAGTGTTCTTTGAATCAATATCATCAATGCCCGCAACTAATTTTCATGTAAAGCTGGTACCCAAAATCCTTTGAAGAGTTTCACAGTCTCCCAGAGTTTTATCTATTTGTCCTTATTTCTTGTCATCCCAAACTGGTTTCCATAACTGGGTACACTGTCCAAATAAGTGATAATGCTTAGAGTTTGGGAGCCACCAAGCAAAGAGGCCAGGAATAATTTTGTGTGTGATAGATATGTCAGGAGCTGACTCTGTAGGCAGCAGATTTTGAGAAACTGATTGGTGGTTACCATTTGGCCCACACGTGTGTGTTAAGAACCATCAGAGGAATTCTTTAATTCAGTCCTTGTTGTTCTAGGTATTGTGTGAACCTAAATCCACTTTGTCCTGGTAGGTGAAAGCTGATAAGGACAGCCCCAACCTAGCCCAGCTGCAGCAGGCCTCTCGGGGTGTGAACCAGGCCACTGCCAGTGTCGTGGCCTCAACCATCTCCGGCAAATCACAGATCGAGGAGACAGGTAGCCTTTCCAAAGAGACGCTTTTCCTATCCACTCTGTTGTGCTTTTCTCTGCTTCTTGTCCTGCGACCCCAAATCCCATAGTACTGTGTCTACATTCTTTCATATTTTTATTTTTATTTTATTTTTTCTTTATTTCTGTTTTTGAGACAGGGTTTCACTCTGTCACCCAGGCTGGAGTGCAGTGGTGCAATCTCGGCTCACTGCAACCTCCACCTCCCAGGTTCACGTGATTCTCCTGCCTCATCCTCCTAGGTAGCTGGGATTGCAGGTGCTCACCACTGCGCCCCGCTAATTTTTGTATTTTTAGTAGAGATGGGGTTTCACCTTGTTGGCCAGGCTGGTCTCAAACTCCTGACCTCATGATCCGCCCACCTCAGCCTCCCAAAGTGCGAGGATTACAGGAGTGAGCCACCCACCCAGCCCCCTTAGTTACTTTCATGCAGTGTTGCCAGATGGCAAACCAGGTGTTTCCACAGGGCATTGCCCTTGGCCACCTCTCAGGTGCCAGTCAGCTGGGGTAGAATTTGATAAGAGCTTCTTGTTTCCATCCTTGCAGACAACATGGACTTCTCAAGCATGACGCTGACACAGATCAAACGCCAAGAGATGGATTCCCAGGTGAGAACTCCGTCTCTAAGTCTAGATAGCCTCTATTGCCTAGACATGGACTCTAAATATTATTCTTATGGAGAAAAGCCAGAGGGAGAGATACCTGGGTGGAAATGAACACAGATGCACCTACTCATCCAAGACAGAATGTAAATGAAGCTGGAAGAGACAGCGGAGGCAGAGGGGGTGATTAGTGCAGATCAGAATCCTTGGTTTGTTTGGTTTTTTTTTAGACGGCATCTCATCCTATTGCCCAGGCTAGAGTACAGTGGCATGATCTCAGCTCACTGCACTCTCCGCCTCCTAGGTTCAAGCAGTTCTCCTGCCCCAGCCTCCCAAGTAGCTAGGGTATGTGCCAACATGCCCAGCTAATTTTTGTATTTTCAGGAGAGACAGGGTTTTGCCATTTGGCCAGGCTGGTCTTGAAGTCCTGACCTAATGATCTGCCCACCTTGACGTCCCAAAGTGCTGGGATTACAGGCATGAGCCAGCACACCTCTCTCCCTTTTTTAAAAAATAAAGATGGGGGGGGGGTCTCACTATGTTGCCCAGGCTGGTCTCGAACTCACTGCCTCACACAGTCCTCCTGCCTCAGTCTTCCTCCCAAAGTGCTGGGATTACAGGTGTGAGCCACCGTGCCCAGCCAAGATCAGAATCTCTTTCCCACTAGCCTTGGACTAATGCTCCTCTAAATGTTATCAAGGAACTCTTAGTATCCACAGATCTAATAGTCTTACTATAAACATGGTTTTAGACTTCGGGTATAAATTATTTGTGTATGACCTTTAGTTTTAAAAAAGAAAATCCTGTTAACTGATCAAAGACAATGCCATTATTTATCTCTGTCATTCTATAAAGTCATGCCATGCAATATAGGTAACAGCAAGGTCCTTAAAAAAAAAAATTGACATTGTTTTTCTAGAATTATTGGTCATCAGTTGTGGGGTGAATTTCAAATCGGAATTGTTAAACCACTCCAAGATGTGTCACTCGGCACTTTTTCGTCTCTCTCTCTTTGAGTCAGGGCCTTGCTCTGTTGCCCAGGCTGGAGTGCAGTTGTGTGATCACAGCTCACTATAGCCTCAAACTCCTGGACTCAGGTGGATCCTCCCGCCTCAGCTTCCTGAGTAACTGGGGCTGCAGGTGCACACCACCATGCCCAGCTAATTTTCCTTTTTTTTTTTTCTGTGTTTTTGTTGTTGTTGTTTGTTTTATTTTTGTTTGGTTTTGCTTTGTTTTGTTTGAGACAAAGTCTTGCTCTGTCACCCACGCTGGAGTACAGTGGCATGATCTCAGCTCATTGCTACCTCTGCCTTCCAGGTTCAAACGATTCTCCTGCCTCAGCCTCCCGAGTAGTTGGGATTACAGGTGTGCACAATCATGCCCGGCTAATTTTTGTATTTTTAGTAGAGATGGGGATTTTATTTCACCATGTTGGCCAGGCTGGTCTTGAATTCCTGACCTTAGGTGATCCGCCCACCTCGGCCTCCCAAAGTGCTGGGATTACAGGTGTTAGCCACTGCACCCAGCTTCTTTAATTTTTGTAGAAATGGGGTTCTCACTATGTTGCCTAGGCTGGTCTCAAACTTCTGGTCTCAAACTTCTGGGCTCTCCCACCTGAGCCTCCCAAAGGGTTGGAATTATGGGCATGAACCACTACACCTGGCTCAGCATCTTTAGGAAAAGACACAGATCACCAGAAAAGCCAAATTTCTGTCTGAATAATGAAGGGACTTCTGCTTAGTGGTCTCACTCAGTCCTTCTTGACTTTATTATTATTATTATTATTATTATTATTATTATTATTATTATTTTGAGACAGGGTCTTGCTGTGTTGGCCAGGGTAGAGTACAGTGATAAAATCTTGGCTCACTGCAGAACCCACTCTGCCTCCTGAGTTCAAGCAATTCTCCACCTCAGCCTCCCAAGTAGCTGGAATTACAGGCACCTGCAACCACGCCTGGCTAATTTTTATATTTTTAGTAGAGGTGAGTTTCACTGTGTTGGCCAGGATGGTCTTGAACTCCTGACCTCAAGTGATAACGCCTGCCTTGGCTTCCCAAAGTGCTAAGATTACAGGCATGAGCCACTGCACCATCCCTTCTTGACTTTAAATACCACCTATATGTGGATAAATTCCAAATTCTTCTCCCCAACTTAGATCTTCTCCTGGAGCCCCATACTTATCCAGCAGCCTTCTTGATAGCTCCCCACTAATGCCCTAGAAGCATCTCAAGCATATCTAATGTACAAAATAGGCCTCTTGGTGTCCCTCACACTGCTCTCTGTCCCCTTGTTTGTTCCATCTCAGTAAATGGCACCCCCACCACCCACTGGGTGCTGAGCCACAGACAGTCATCCTTGATTCCTCTCTTTCCCTCACCCTCTACATCCAATCCATCTGTAAGTCCTGTCAACTCTAAATCACAAAACAAAACCTTAGTCTTTCCACTTCTTTCCATCTTCCTACCTACTGTTGTCTGACTCCTGAACTACTGCAAAAGCAACTTACCTATAATGTCATGTGCGTAGTCATTTTAAAATAATCCTGTGGTAGGCTGGGTGCAGTGGCTCATGCTTATAATCCAGTACATCAAAAGGCCAAGGTGGGAGGATTGCTTAACCAGGAGTTCAAGACAAGCTGGGGCTGCAATAGAGAAACCCCATCTCTACACAGAAATTAAAAATTAGCCAAGCGTGGTGGCACATGCCTGTAGTCCCAGCCACTCTGGTGGCTGAAACAGGAGGATCACTTGAGCCCAGGAGTTTCAGGCTTCAGGGAGCTGTGACCATGCTCTTGCACTCCAGCCTGTGTGACAGAGTGAGACCCTGTTTCTAAAAATAACGACAGTAATCAACCTGTGGCAGGGTCGGGTGGTGGGGAGAATAGCAAAGAGTGTTGCAGAGGCAAATCTGGCCATATGGTTAGTTAGTTAGTTAGACAGTGAGGTCACTCTACTAGTCTCCATACCTCTGCAGACATTTTACTTTTTCCATAATAAAAAGTTTCAAAACAAAAAATGAACCACTTCACTGGGTCTAGTTGCTTCTACTCTTGACCCTCTACAGTTCATTCATTCTCTATGTGATTTATTTTAGAAACGTAAATCTCAGGATGACCCCTCTCTGCTTAAATCCTCCCAGTGGCTTTCTTTTGCATGTACAACATCCAAGTTCCTCATCAGGCCATGAGCCTGGGTGAAAAATGATTCTTGCCTGGTTCTCAACCTCCTCTTGCAACCCTATCCCTCTCTTGTATGTCTCATATACAACTTCCTTCCTTCTCTCAACACCTCAGGATTTGTCTTGCCTTAGAGCCTTTCCTCTGGCTGTTTGTTCTGCCAGGAATATTGTCCAGGGCTCCAGACAGCTGAGCTCTTAAGGCCACATGAGCAAAAAAAAAAAATGACTTTCTGAGACTAGACTTGACTGACTTTTCGTAGTATTTATCACATCTCCCTGTATCATTTCTTTATAATTTGATCTTTTCTTCTTCATTTGTTTGTCCCTTCCCTCTACAAGGTAAGCAGAGACATTGTCTGTCTGTTTACCACTGTGTCTCCAGCACCTATAACAGCCTGGTATACATGATCAGTGCTCAGCAAATACTCTTTTGTTTTTTTTTGTTTTTGTTTATTTGAGATGGAGTTTCTTTCTTGTTGTCCAGTCTGGAGTACAATGGCACAATCTCGACTCACTGCAACCTCTGCCTCCTGGGTTCAAGCAATTCTCCTGCCTCAGCTTCCCAAGTAGCTGGGATTACAGGCATGTGCCACCACACCTGGCTAATTTTGTATATTTTTATTAGAGACCAGGTTTCACCATGTTGGTCAGGTTAGTCTCAAACTCCTGACCTCAAGTGATCCACCTGCCTTGGCCTCCCAAAGTGCTGGGATTACAGGCATGAGCCACCACAACCATCCAGCAAATATTCCTGGAATTAAGAAATAAAATAAATTACATTAATGAGAAATAGAGCTAGTCAAGATCACCCTTTCCTTCAGTAACATTGTCTATGCTTTTTCTTGTAGCAGTAATAAGCCTAAGTTGCACAAATACCTGAAAGGTATCAGAACCATCGTATTTGGTCCCTACCTGGGTTTCCAGGGAACTGGGATTGAACAAGGGTTACAACTAGATTGGAACTCACCATACAGTGAGGCCAAACATTAGAGTTGTTTTTTAGATAGTGATTTATCAGAGGAACAGAAGATAAGCCCACCTCCCATTTAGGCATTTGTAAAGCATCATTCAATTCCAGTAGAGGATCACAGTGAGTTAAAACGTAAGAGCTACTGGGGTAGATAGATGAATGGGAGAATGGAAAAATTAGAGCAGAGAAGAGAATTGAAATTGAGAACTGGATAAAGTATGGAGACAGGGTGAATAATATGGAAGAAGAGGAAAGCCACAATGCAGCAGAAAGGGGATGATCAAAATAAGATAGATGTAGACTTGGTGTTTCATGCCTGTAATCTCAGCACTTTAGGAGGCCAAGACAGGAGGATTGCCTGAGGCCAGGAGTTCACTATCAGTCTGGGCAGCAGAACAAGACCTAACCTCGATTAAAAATATAAATAAATAAAAATTAGAGAGCTGATCAAAAGAAAATCCCACTTACTTTCTCTTACAGGTTAGGGTGCTAGAGCTAGAAAATGAATTGCAGAAGGAGCGTCAAAAACTGGGAGAGCTTCGGAAAAAGCACTACGAGCTTGCTGGTGTTGCTGAGGGCTGGGAAGAAGGTGAGCTGACTCCAAGGAGGGAGGGGAAGCTGTGTAGCCAGGGCCTTCCCCTAGAATGGAACAGAAAAAGGAACCCACCAGATCGGTGGCTTCTTCCTTCTCTTCTCTCTTCGTGGAATCTGTTTTCTCTTCAGTTGTAAATGACCTTTAAGCCTAACTCTGGGTGAAATTATGGTAAATTGAAAGCTTTTGTTGTCATCTTTTAAGACCTAAACATTGATTATAACTCACTCACTGTCAATCCCTCCCAGGACCAGCTAGCCTGTCGACTCCCTGGGAATTTAGTTTCTGGACAGCAAAGAGTTGAAAAATGAATGAATAGTGGTCAGTGGAGATCTGACAGACAGAGACAAGTGAATTACAAGGTTCTGACTATCTAGCGCCAGTGAAGGGCATTTAATTGCCAAGAGATAGAAGGAATCAGTTGCTGAGAAATGGAGTGGCATGGAGTCACATTTAGCCTGCCAGCCCAGAGACTTGCCATCCATCACCTCGAGTCTGTATGTTGCTGTCTGCATGTCAAAAGCAGTCAGCTTGATCGCAGCCAAGATTGTTGACTCTCATTGGACTCGACTGACTCTGGGCACCAACCATAGACAGATCTTAGTCATTCCTAGACACCAAACTTGGGGACTAGGTGATTACACCATGGTTATGATTATAATGCATTTTCGAGACCCACATGGTGGCAGACGTTGTTGGTTAAGTGAATGCATGCATGCAGGAAGTGCTTTGCAACATAAATTCTCATTGTCTTTTAGGAACAGAAGCGTCTCCACCGACATTGCAAGAAGCGGTAACCGAAAAAGAATAGAGCCAAACCAACACGCCATATGTCAGTGTAAATCCTTGTTACCCATCTCTGTGTGTGTTATTTCCCCAGCCACAGGCCAAATCCTTGAAGTCCCAGGGGCAGCCACACCACTGCCACTACCCAGTGCCGAGGACCTGCATGACTCTTCCAAAGACTCCCTCCATAGCGACCCCCTTTCTGTTTGGGCCCATGGTCATCTCTGTTCTTTCCCCGCCCCCCTAATTAGCATCCAGGCTGGCCAGTGCTGCCCATGAGCAAGCCAAGGTCCAAAGAGGGATGGCAGGGGGCAGGGCCACTCAACAGAGAGGACCTCCATCCAGTCCTGCTGACTGCTTGACCCCCACGCAATGGGTATCCTTAAGAGAGGGGCTGCTTGCTGTTTGTTGACAGCTTGGAGAGGGAAGAGCTTATGCTTTTTCTTTTCTGTTTTCTTCTCAGTCTTTTCAGTTTCATCATTTACACAAACTTGTGAGCATCAGAGGGCTGATGGATTCCAAACCAGGACACTACCCTGAAATCTGCACAGTCAGAGGGACAGCAGGAGTGTCCTGGCTGCGAATGCCAAGGCCATTCTCCCCCTCTTTGGGCAGTGCCATGGATTTCCACTGCTTCTTATGGTGGTGGGTTGGGTATTTTGGTGGTTTTTTTCTTTTTAAGTTTCACTCACATAGCCAACTCTCCCAAAGGGCACACCCCTGGGGCTGAGTCTCCGGGGCCCCCCACTGTGGCAGCTCCGGCGATGGTGCTGCCCAGGCCTCTCCTTGGTGCTCCACCTCCGCCTCCACGCTGAGCAGGTGCTGGCCCACGCAGGCCACGCTTCAGGGTCAGGCGGAGCTGCTGAGTGACAGCTTTCCTCAAAAGGCAGAAGCAGAGCGAGTGCCTTTCCCTCCTAAAGCTGAACCCCGGCGGAAAGCCTCTGTCCACCTTCACAAGGGAGAGGAAAACAGAGAGAGGGACAAGAGGGTGCGCACGGCCCAGGTCTTCACAGGACACATTTCTTAGGAGTTCCCGAGACCAGGCTCAAAAACCTTTATCACGTGCTTGAACGGAGCTGGTGAGATCAGCAACACTACTTCCCCCGGAATGGACTGTGACTGGTCTGTGTCATGTGGGCCATCTCCATTGGCCCAGAGAGGGAGCGTGGGAGCGATCCCCAACTCCTTTCTGCAGATGCCTGCCTTGGCATCCTCTTGATTCGGAAGATCATTCCACCTTCTACGCAATTGACAAACCCGGAAGATCAGGTGCAATTGCTCCCATCAGGAAAGAATCCTATACTTGGTTTGCTGCCCTTAGTGTTTATTACTAACCTCCTTAAACAGCAACAGCCTATGGAGAAATGCTTGGAGCAGTCAGGACTTCAGGTGTGACTACGGCAAGGCTCAGCTTTCTGCCCGGCTACATCAGCCTTCCAGAATCAGAAGCAAGGCCAAGGTGCTGGACCGTTACCGACTCGGATCCCACAGCAAGGAGATCGTTTAGAGCTCTGGGGTCAGAGAAAATGAGAAAGGAGGAAACCCGAGGCTCTAACTCCCATCAGCCACATGCCCCAGGCTCTCGCTGCCCTATGGACAGGCTGAGGACAGGGGGCACATGAACAGCTTGCTGGGGGTGGACAGCCCAATGGCACTTTTCCTCTTCCAGATGGACCCCAGCATTTAAGTGACCTTCTGATCTTGGAAAAAACAGCATCTTCCTTCTTTATCTATAGCAATTCATTGGTGGAAGCCATCAAGCACTTCCCAGGATCTGCCCCAACGGAACACTGCTAGGTTTTGCTACATGACGGGTTGTGAGACTTCTATATTTGATCACTGTGAACCAACCCCCCTCTCCCTAACCCGCACCCTTCCCCAACTCCCTCTCTGTGAATTTTCTAAGTGGGACATTCAAAAAATACTCTCCCAGGACCTCGGATGACCATACACAGACATGTGACCTCCATACTAGGCTAAGGAAGTATCAGCAGTAGAAATTGGGCAGTATGATGTTGAATGCTGCTTTCTACTTCATATTTTTTTGTTTGAAGGCTCAGAAGGAATGGTGCATAAGCATCCCTGTCCCAGCTGTGGCAACTAACCCAATCAGTGTATTCTTGATGTGGGTCAATATTTCCAAAAGTGGCTAGTCCTCACTTCTAGATCTCAGCCATTCCAACTCATATGTTCCAAATTAGCAATGGGGCAAAAATTCTAGTGTATTGTATCAAATTAAGATTCCCTGCCCAGCCAGGTGCAGTGGCTCATGCCTGTAATCCCAGCACTTTGGGAGGCCAAGGCGGGAGGATTGCTTGCACTCAGGAGTTTGAGACCAGCCTGGGCATCATAGCAAGACCTCGCCTCTACTAAGATTAAAACAAAAAAAAATTAGCTGGGCACGATCGTGTATGCCTGTAGTCTCAGCTAGTCGGGGAGCCGTAGCAAGAGAATTGCTTGAGATTGGGAAGTTGAGGCTGCAGTGAGCCCTGATTGTGCCCCTGTCTCAAAAAAAAAAAAAAAAAAAGATTCTCTGCCTGAGCCCCACCCAGAAGTTTGGGGCTGCAGTGAGCCGTGATTGTACCACTGCACTCCAGCTTGAGTGACAGAGCAAGACTCCATCTCTTTAAAAAGAAAAAGAAAAAATTCTCTGAATAATACTCTCTAAAAAGAAACCACAGAAATGTTTAAAACCTTATCAACATAGCCTGAGTCATAACGGTTAAGAAAGCACTTAAACAGAAGTGCACTGAAGCAGAAGCTAATTCAGTGTCACATGAGGAAGTACCTGTCAGATGTCACATAATTACTTTGCAATAGCTCAGATTAGAACAGCTACCCCATTCTCTAGACAAAATCAAATTGTCCTATTGTGACTCTTTTAAAAATGAAGATGAAGTATTTGATGACACACCTTGGATTAAAATGGGAATCACATCTTAAAGCTAAAAATGAACCTGCCAGCCTTTAAATGAGTCACTGAGCACCACTAGTGACAAGTCTTGGGTAAGTGTAAATGGGTCATGACAAGATGGGACAGCAACAAAATAATGGCTTAGGATCAACAAGAGGGTGAAAACAGCTGCATCTGTTACTTAAGTTTGTAATACAGTGCCCTGAGACCTCTAGAGAAAAGATGTTTGTTTACATCATAAGAGAAAGAGGCCGGACGAGGTGGCTCATGCCTATAATCCCAGCACTTTGGGAGGCTGAAGCAGGTGGATCACCTGAGGTCAGGAGTTCAAGACTAGCCTGGCCAACGCGGTGAAAACCCATCTCTACTAAAAATACAAAAATTAGCTGGGCATGGTCGCGGGCACCTATAATCCCAGCCACTTGGGAGGCTGAGGCAGGAGAATCGCTTGAACCCTGAGGGCCAGAGGTTTCAGTGAGCCGAGATCACGCCACTGCACTCCAGCCTGGGTGACAGTGAGACTCAGTCTCAAAAATGAAAGAAAGAAAGAAAGAAATGGAAGAGCCACCTTGGCAGGGTCATTTTATATCTGAGGAAGGAGTTTAAATGAGACTACATTGTTCGCTGATGTGGCTGTCCATAGCAGTATCCCCAAAATCCCACCGGAATACGGGTCCCTTAACCCAGTGGCTGGAAGAACCACTGTCTAGAGCATCTTTTCTTGGAACCGTCCCAGCTACCAAGTCAGACAGCAAGGTCTATGCCAGCAGGCAACACGGGGATCACATGTACATGTCGCTCCGGTCAGATTCGTTGGCTTTGGTCTCAAGCCTGCAGAGGAGCTAGTTTTCAGCTTGCACCTGGGAAGTTCTCTCTTAGCTCCTTAGTCTAGAGGGGTCTCCTGGCTCCGCTTGACCCTGGTCTTTAATAACCAGTCAGTATCTTGCTGCCTTCTACCACCTTTCCAAATCTCTGGAAATCCTGCCAGTGAAAGCCTTCAGTTCCAACATTGGCTTCCCAAGCAAACTGGCATTGCTCTCCCTCTGCCATCCTGGTCCTCCAGCGACTGCACCACGTGTAGCATAGAAAACCACCACCACGGCCCTGCCAGCCATCGACGCAGCAAACCAGGCCAGCTGTTTGCTGTCAAATTCCTTCCTCTCCCAGGTCCAGGCCAAATCCAGGATCAGCACCATTCTGTGGTGTTGTCAGGAGCCAAAGCGGAAGGAAACTATTCAAATCCCATTGGGTTCGATGCTGAGAGTAGATTTTTCCAGACATGTCTTTCAGGTGACCCTCAACTACCTCAGGTTTGAAAGCCCTAAATGAAACTGATTACCACTCATAGGGGCAAACCGAGGGGGTTCGGTTACATCTTGGTGACAACACAATTGTCTCAAACTTAGAACAAACTCTTTCACACTTTGGTTTGCAGGGATAGGGTTGGGTTTGTTTGTCTTCTGTTTTTAACCTTTCCCCCAGTTTTCCATTAGGGTAGTTCCTTGAAATGAATTTCATTTTTCACTGAGTGCCTACCTTCCCAGGGCAGGTGACCACTGGCTTCTGTTTCCCTCCAACAATACTTTTATTATGGTATTAAGACCTTTCTTTGTATAATACATCGCATCTGTGTTTTCAATTTTTCAAATAAATATTTCCGCCTGGCAATGGAGCATGGTGGTGATTGCCCGGCCAGCTGTGATCTTGCCACTGCACTCCATCCTGGGCAACACAGCAAGACCCTAGCTCTTTAAAAAAAAAAAAAAAAAAAAAAAGACATATCTATTTGCACTTCTTAAACATGTTCCATCCTCCTTGTATACCACCCTGTCCGTGGGAATCATGAAATAGAAAGTCCCGAACTGGTTAATACTGATTCACGCTGGGCACGGTGATTCATGCCTGTAATCCCAGCACTTTGGGAGGCTGAGGCGGGAGGATTGCTTAAGGCAAGGAGTTTGAGACCAGCCTGGGCAACATGGCAAAACCCTGTCTTTAAAAAAATACAAAAAAAAAAAAAAATAGCTGGGCGTGGTGGGGTGCATCTGTAGTCCCAGCTACTAGGGAGGGTGAGATGGGAGAATCAGGTGAGCCCCTGGGGAGGTCGAGGCTGCAGTAAGCCATGATTGCGCCACTGCACTCCAGCCTGGCTGACAGAGACGCTGTCTAAAAAAATATATTTGGCCAGGCGTGGTGGCTTACATCTGTAATCCCAGCACTTTGGGAGGTGAGTGGCTCACAAGGTCAGGAGATCAAGACCATCCTGGCTAACACTGTGAAATCCCGTCTCTACTAAAAATACACAAAATGAGCCAAGTGTGGTGGCATGTGCCTGTAGTCGCAGCTACTTGGGAGGCTGAGGCTGGAGAATCACTTGAATCCAGGAGGCAGAGGTTGCAGTGAGCAAAGATTGCGCCTAGGCAACAGAGCGAGACTCTGTCTCAAAAAAAGAAAAAGAAAAAAATATATACATATATGTATATAATTTTTTTAAAAACCTGTCATCTAGAAGGTCAAGCCTCATAAAATCTGGGAGTTCAGGCTATGGCTCCTCCCTCTGCACCCTTGAGATGCAAAGTAACCTGTTACTTTAAAATGAGATGTGACCAATTCTGCACAGAAACAGAAGCTACCGGTCATAAAGGGATTCAGAGCAAGCCAGTCACAGCTACCAGAGGATTTACAGAGGGAGCCAACAGAGCCGGGCTGGGCTGCAGGGCCACCTTTCCACAGCATGATTGGCTTCAACCTAATACCGCCAGTGTGTTAAGCCAGGGGACCTGCAGGGGAGACACAGATGGGGAAAGGCTGGGCTTGGTAAGCAGGAGAATTGGCCCAAATGACTCATCACATAAGCAGAGAATGAGGCAGGTAATCAGAAGCTAGCATCTTTAGCTAGGGAGATCAAAGAACCAGTGGGATCACCTTACTCAGTGGGAAGGTGAACTGGATAAATACCAAAGACGGGGACACTTGCCTGCAGCTAGACTTTTCTGCTTCAAGTGGCAGAATGCCAAGGTGAACCTACTCCATTTAAAGCATAGGGTGGCCGCAGGGGCTCACACCTGTAATCACAGCACTTTAGGAGGCTCAAGCAGGTGGATCGCTTGAGTCTAGGAGTTCGAGGCCAGCCTGGACAAGATGGAGAAACCCTATCACTACAAAATATACAAAAAGTTAGCTGGGTGTGGTGGCTCATGCCTGAAGTTCCAGCTACTCGGGAGACTAAGGCGGGAGGATTGCTTGAGCCCAGGAGGCAGAGGTTGCAGTGAGCTATGATGGCACCACTGCACACTCCAACCTGGGCGACAGAGCCAGAGGTTGTCTCAAAAAAAAAAAAAAAAATCTTGAACTGTCCTTTAAAAGCAAGCTCTAACTAGGCTGGGCATGGTGGCTCATGCCTGTAATCCCAGCACTTTGGGAGGCCAGGGTGGAAGGATCACTTGAGATCAGGAGTTCGAGACCAGCCTGGCCAACGTGGTAAAACCCCGTCTCTACTAAAAAATACAAAAATTAGCTAGGTGTGGTGGCATGCACCTATAATCCCAGCTACTTGGGAGCCTGAGGCACAAGAATCACTTGAACCTGGGAGGAGGCAGAGGTTGCAGTGAGCCGAGATCAGGCCACTGCACGCCAACCTGGGCAACAGAGCAAGACTCCCTCTCTAAATAAATAAAAGCTCTACTCATTTGTGCAGACAATGGAAAGCTGTTGATTGGCTTTAGGCAAAGGGACGACATGATGAGATTTGCATTCTGAAAAGACCCTTCTGGTTGTAGAATGGAGGTCAGAGTGGAGCTGAGCCAGAGTAGATTGGGGAAACCAACCAGGAAGCCGTTCTCATGGTCCAGACAAAGAACAATGGCATGTGAGACAGGCTAGTGGCAGGAGAGACACGTGGCAGGTAAAAGGGACCTGGACAGACAAGCTTTGGGTTAGAGAGAGGGAGGCCAGGGAGGGAGCGTTTAGGGAGGGGTCCTGGGTTTCTGGCTAGTGGTGCCATCTACCTGGAAGAGGGCCAGGCTCAGCATAGATATTATGACATTATGTTAGATATTATGTTTGGAGATGAATTGCCTTTTTTTTTTTTTTTTGAGATGGAGTCTTGCTCTGTCACCCAGGCTGGAGTGCAGTGGTCTCGGCTCACTGCACCCTCTGCCTCCTGGGTTCAAGTGATTCTCCTGCCTCAGCCTATTGAGTAGCTGGGATAGCAGGGGCACACCACCATGCTCTGTTAATTTTTGTATTTTTAGTAGAGACAGGGTTTTACCATGTTGGTCAGGCTGGTCTCGAACTCCTAACTTCATGACCCGCCCACTTCGGCCTCCCAAAGTGCAGGAATTACAGGTGTGAGCCACCATACCTGGCCTTTTTTGTTTTTGTTTT